AACAAAAGAGCAGATAGTGCAGGAATCCCAAAGCCTTTCCAGATGGGTCCCTCTGCTTACCGACATGGTAGCATGCGCCCTGCTGGAGTCCCAAGGGATCACCCCGAAGTTGAGATCCTGGAGGACACATGTCCAACGATGCCACCAGCCTTTCAGAAAAGACTGCAAGGTATGTCAAGAGGCTGCAGCAAGAGCGAGACCTCACCGGCGTCAAAAACTTCCTCCAAGAGCTGGCGTTCTTTCGGTCGACATCGCCGGACCACTCACCAAAGCTCCAGACCTGGGCAAAGACCATGCTCGTTTTGTCCTGGTCGCGGCGTTCACCTGGCCTACAGGCCTGAAGGGTGACGACTTAGAAGAGTTGCCCGAGGAGGATGATGAGGATGATTTCCCAGGCTGGGAAGAAAATGAGGAGAAACCAAAAGAAGAGATAGGGTCCCAAAAGCCAGGAGCCAAGAAGCGAGGCAGGCCAAGGAAGAAAGACCCTGAGGAGGAGTTTGAGGAGCTGCTGAGGAGAGAGCAGGAAGAACAGAAGCAGAAACGGCAGAAGGAAAAGGAGGCTGCAGAACCCCCAGGAACTGAGGAGCCCTTAAAGGAGGCCGCAGAACCCCCAGGAGTTGAGGAGCCCTTGAAGGAGGCTGCAGACCCCCAGAAGAAAGATGATGATGAAAAGGAAGGGGACTATATGACCCGGGTGGCGCCCGATGTTGAATATGAGCCCACTGAACCGGGCGAAGACCCTTTCCCACAGGTGCCAGCACCAGATGTCCCTGAAGAGCAACAGGCACAAATACAAGTGCACCGTTTGGCATTCCCCTTGCCAGACAAGAGAGGCATCACGATCTTGAATGCCCTGATCGATGCCTACCTCACCTTGAGGAGTGAAGGCATGTTTGTCAATCAGCTCCACTCCGATTTAGGAGGTGAGTTCACTGGAGCGTACATTGAAAAGTGGTGCAGGGAAAGATGCATCCTCACAACAACAACCCCAGGGGTATCCCCTCAAACCAACGGCCGAGCAGAAAGGGCCGTACAAGCAATGAAGACAGAGACGAAGAAAATCCTGCGTGGCGCGCAGGTGGGTATCGAATGGTGGCCGATTGCTGTTCGATATCTCAATGAAGTATGGAAGAGAAACAGAACAGAGGCCATTGGGGCCATCCCACCGTTCATGTCCAAAGTGCTGATCAGAAGAAGGTATTGGCGCACAAAGGACATGGAACCCAACAACGAAGAGGTTCACTACCTCGCCCCATCCTGGCGGAACTATGGGCATTGGGTACTTCGCTCAGACAACACACAAACCTTGACAAGGGCTGTCATCACCAACACCGTGGAGCCAGTCACTGAGGACACGTGGATTGCCTTAGAAGACAATCTGACTCCCTTGGATCTTCGAAGGAGAATTCGAGGAAAAGCCATGATCAGAAAGGTACAAGAGGAGAAAGATGAAGAAAGCAGGCAAGACAGGCTGAAGTGGGAAAAGGTGATACAGGAAGAGGCAGAACATGCCTTCTATGATGATGAAGAGGTTGTTGAGGCCGTACTCAGGGGGGTGAAAGCCATGCAAGAGATGGATCAAGAGGATGAAGGAGAAGTGCTCCAAACGAAAATTGTGGGCACTGCCGAGGTGGTCAAAAAGAAAGACCTTTGGCATCAGGCCATTTCCAATGAGATCAATTCACTCTTCTCAGAAAAGAAAGCGTTGAAGCTTTTGACGAAAGAGGAGAGCGACAAGTATCTCAAAGAAAGAGGAGCGATTCCACTACCTTCCAAGACCGTATTTACGGTGAAGCCAGATCCGGCTGATCGTCGGGGAAAGCGAAAATGTCGCATAGTTGCATGTGGCAACTATGAGACTGGGGGTGGAGATGAAAACTGTTTTGCGGCAGGAGCAGATGCTGCTGCCCTTAGGCTGGCGCTGGCTCTGGCCACAGTTCGCAAATGGTGCGGCATCAATGTGGACATTCGCACCGCCTTTTTGAACGCTCCCTGGAAACATGAAAAGGGGGGTGAAGATTGGTTTTTTGAAGAAGAAGGCGAAGAAGCTCCGCTGCCAATGCTTCTTAGGCCACCACCAATTTTGGTCAAACTTGGCTACTTTCCTCCCTATCAGCTCTGGGAGGTTTTGCGAGCTCTTTATGGCTTCCGGAGGTCTCCGAAACTCTGGAAGGATTATAGAGATGAGGAGATGGAAAAGATGAGAGTTGGAAAGATGAGGTTGCATCAGCTTGAATCAGAGCCGAGTACATGGGCCATCCGCCAAGAAGAAGCTGGCGATTTGCAAGGGCTCATGCTCACCTATGTTGATGACATTTTGGTCCTTGCCTCAGAGGAGACTGCAGAAGCTTGGATCAGCTGCATCCAATCCAAGTGGGAAACCTCTGTCCCTGAGAAGGTGGGCTGTCAGCAAATCACCCGGTTTTTGGGTATGGAGTTGTCTCGAGATCAAAATGGAGTGTGGTGCGCCACTCAACACTCCTACACTTTGGATCTCTTGCAGGAAAACATGGGGATGGACAGACAGAAGTGGGGATTGAAGAAGATTCCCATGTCAAAGGAGGATGGAAGTTTGGATAGTGATGGTGAGGAGGATGCAGAAAAGACAGTGGAAAAGGTTCGAGAAGCACAGAGAATCGTAGGTGAGCTGACCTGGCTGGTGACCAGGTGTCGCCCCGACATCATGTACGTCATGTCCAGAATTTCCAGATGGACCACCAGACGACCTTCCAAGGTCATTGCTGCAGCGCCTCAAATCTGGAAATACCTTGCGAATTCCATCCAAGAAGGGATTCGTTTTGGAGGAAATGAAGATGGTTGCCTAGACCTCCTGGTCTACACCGACGCGGCCTATGGAAATGAAGGCCACGGATGCTCCGTGGTGATGTGGCTGGGAGCTCCAATTTTGTGGCGAAGCTCGCGCCAACAACTTCAAACCGCATCCACAGCAGAGTCGGAGCTGTTGGAGATTTTGGAAGGAGGAGTTTTGGCCGAGGCAGTCAGAGTAGTGGTAGAAGAAATTTTGGAAAGGGCAGTGCGATGTTGGCAGTACTCGGATTCTGCCTCAGCCATCGCCATAGTTGGAGGCGACAGTGCGTCCTGGAGGACGCGCCACTTGAGAAAGAGGGCTCGCTACATGAGATGGCGGGTGCTGAGTGGAGATGTCATCCTCCGACACACTCCAGGCAACGGCATGATCGCCGACCTGGGCACCAAAGCTTTGGCGGCATTGAAGTTGGAGGAGCTGAAGAAAGCCATGGGCATGACAGATAGAAAGATCAAAACAGAAAAAGAAAAGGAAGATCTCGGTGTGGTGAGAGGGCCTACCGAAGAAAAAGAAGAGAATGGCATGGTGAGAGAGCCGGCCATAGAGACGAAAGAAGCGAAAGGAGGGATAAAGTCCCCAAAAGATATGGTCAGGATGGCGATGATCATGGCCATGCTCAGCCGAGCGAGGGCCGAAGATGAAGATGGAGATGCAGGAGAGGAATCATCCATCTTCTTTGACATGATGATGGTATATACAATAGTGGTGGTGTTGGTCACGTTGGCCATTCAAAGCGGCTGGCAACGACGACTGCTCAGGGCTGAGACGGCTGTGGGATCAGATCGATCCCGCGGCGAACTCGCTCAACGGAGTGCCAGGACATCGGGTCTGATGACCGATGGTCCAACCTCCGTCCCGGGTGAGACGGTTCTGGGATTCGGTGGAGGAGACCAATCTCGGGACGAACTCCCCAGGCGAAGCAGCCAACCATCTGGGAGTGCCAGGACGTCGGGTCTAGCGTCACAGACCGATTGTCCAACCTCCCCGCCGGGTGAGACGGTTCTGGGATTTGGCGGAGGAGACCAATCTCGGGACGAACTCCCCAGGCGAAGTGGCCCACCACTAAAAGAAGAAAAGGAAGAAACACCAAAGGCTGTAAAAAGAGCCAAAAGTATGGGCCAATCTTCTGCGTCCAAACAGGACGGACAGAGGAACACCTATGGCCAACCAGCTTCAAAACTGGAAGCTCCGCTACCAGAAGATCAAACAGCCTCTGCAGGAATCCAAGAACCAGCGATTCCCAAGGCGGCAACAGAAAAGAAAGAAGTTGCTCCGCCACCAAAAGTTTTGCAATCAAAGTCAAAAGGAAAGAAAGGTGATGAAAAGAAGCCAAATGAAACGACCTCAACAGGGATGACGCAGATCAGAACCAACCATGCTGCAGCCGAGCCAAAAGTTGCAGCTTCCTCATCCACTGGCACTGGTGCTCAGATCCCTACGGATCCATCTTCCAGTGCTGACCCATCGATTGACCTGTACTTTACAGGCCTTGGAAAGAAATATCACTTCCGAAAGGATTGCTATGGGTTGAGAAATTCACAGATGGTGCGGCACACCGATATCTGTGAGCAGTGTGTTCCTCAACTTCGCGGATGGCATCCTCGAGGGAGAGACATGTATGGAGCGGGATTGAATGGACCCCAGCACACCGATGTGACTCACTGCGAAAAAATGCATGGATATTCCATTGCGTATCAGCCGTGTAATTGGTGTGCGAGGCCAAATGAAAGCGAAAAGTGAAAAAAGGTGCGATGACATGCAAAGTGAAAAATTTTGGAAAAGAAGAGCGGAAAAAGAACATCTGAGAGAGGGCTTGAGCTTTGAATGTAACACTGTCGTGCAGATGGTGTGAGATATATTTTGCTTTTTTCGTGTGACTGTGCCTCTAGCGAAACACAGTCAGGGGGTGTGCGAATTGCATATTCCCTATTTAGCATTCATGTCATGACTTTGCAATTGTCATTTCGATCAATGGGCATTTCACCATAGCCCTTTTTCCAAGCTCAAAGATCGGTCGGAAGACCGGTGAATCCAACGTGAAGGACTTTGGAAAGAGAGTTAAAAGCGCAGGACCACTTGTCTGACCGTGGAGGACTTTGTGTGTCTAACGCAAGGAGTTTGAGGTGTGGACTAGTACCTGGCTTTTCTGGCCGCAGACGTGTCAGGACTGTCAGTGCTAGTACCCCCGATAATATTACCCGGGTGAACCTGTCGCGAACAGTTTCAACCCCTCTGAAAAATATGAAAGTCAGTTGGGAGGATGATTCCCCAATATATTATGGAAAAATATGGAAAATATGTTTTTGTTCCAAACCACCAACCAGATTTGGTCAGTGATCCTGACCATCCTGACCTGTCTGATCTCACCACCACAGAACGCTCGGGCTTCGAGATGCCCGGAATGTTGGGGCCCTCTGAGACCTTGCTGAGATCACAGCCAGTTTCTGATGACATCTGCAGCCAGTTTCTGCAGTCAAAGTTACTGTTGGTTATATGTAAAACAATGGACCTTCATCTCCAACTTATGGAGAATCATCCCTTCCCATTTTCATATTGAACACCCCCCAGAAACCATGTTCTGGTCTTGGAATTGACGCTTATTTAAGGGATCAATGGGGTGTTTCATAATGAACTGGGGATGGACTGGTCATAAAGGAAGTCATTCGGTCTGTGGCTCCAACTCCACGGATTCTGGACTCGGAGTTTGGGTTGTGGTTGATGAGATCAATGTATGGGACCAGCGCCACAATATCATCCTCGAAGTCATCCTGGTCCTCGTCGCGTAGAGAAAGCCACCATCTTGACCAAAAAGCCATCTAACACACGCCACTTCAAAGTCTTCAAAGTCAAACAGCCACATTTTTTGGGTCACATGGAAATACGGAAATGCAACGTGAGGCTCCGGAAAATCAAGACGTACTGCTCGGCTGAAGAGGACCGAATAGGCCCAAACCTGTGACTTCGTGATCTCACGGGCTTTGCGCAACTCAAAAAACCAAATGTCTCCTGCTTCCAGCATCTGCCATCCGTCCAATGACTGAGGCTGACTGAGGACCATGCATAGTTTTCCAACGTGAAAGCATCTGCTGGAAACTTCTCTGGGAATTTTCCCATGATACCCTCCTTGGAGCGAGTGCAGGCCCCAGGGAGACCCATGGAGACCCTATCCGTTTTTCGGCACTGCAGCGAATCTCCTGGATATCGCTGAACTCCTGGTTGACCTGATCCTGGAGGAAGTATGACCTGCTTCGTACTTGGATCATCTTGGATCGAGTCACAAGCAAGTCTAACAAGACAACCCCCAGAAGTCCTGCACGACACAACCGCCACCTTCTAACCCATACCATTTCAGCACAAATCCTTCACATTGTGACGGGTAGTTGTGGCTACTGGGTTCTTGGCATATTGCGCAAAGGACTGCCAGCAAGTAGTGTGTCCAGTTCCTTCGTCACAGAACCACATAGCCTACTTCCATTCCATGTTTGGTCACATCTCTGGGTCTTGCCTCCATCCCCTAATGCTTAGCAAGGTATTCTGAACCTCTACATATATTGAACAAACAAGTTTTGATGGTCGCTCATTGATCTTCACTCTAATTCCAAACCATCACATGGCAAAGCCATGCAAGCTGCAGCTGACAGTTGACTTCTGCGAGGTCCGAAGAAAAGTTCTCCGAACATCTCCAAACATCTCCGAACATCTTCTTCTGTGTGGTCAACTTGTCGTTACCGAATGCAGTGTGGTCATGTGTCACTGGACTTGCGATCTGCGGAGTAGACCCTATCGCAGGACAGAATTCAAGCTTTTTTCGTGCTTTGAAGCTTTGTTCATTTTCTCTGGCTTTAGACGTGTCTTCTTTACAAACGAGTCTGGTTCGAAAAATGCAGATACGATAGATATGAGACTTGCACATTTTTTCAAATCCTGTCCTCCTTGTCCCAGGCAAAGGATGCGCCAACCCTCAACACCAGAGGCTGCAGCCCTTCCAATTCGCACTCTGAGGACTCTGAGGACTCAGCTCATCAACTGAAGGGAGCACACCAATGTAAGGAGCCCAAAAGGAATTCTCCTGGTGCTGATGTTTAGTCTCTGTTTAGTCTCTGTTTAGTCTCTGTTTAGTCTTTGTTTAGTCTCTGTTTAGTCTCTGTTTAGTCTCTGTTTAGTCTCTGTTTAGTCTCTGTTTAGTCTCTGTTTAATCTCTAAATCGTCTAAGTGCAAAGGTGGGTTCGGAATTTGGTCCTTTTCCACAAATCTCTCGTGAATGAGCTGCAGAGCAATAGCTGCGTACTCACCTGAGCCAATTTTGCTCGTAAGGTACTTGCATACTGTTGGAAGGCTATATAACAGATTGGCAGAGGGCAAACAACCTGGCTGACCGCCAGTGTGACAAAACCAAGACGCTCATGTCCTTCGTGATGCATTCCTCACCAAAGACTTCTCTCGAAGTGTCCTGTGACGGAAATCGGGGATTGTCAAAGCTTCCTTGTAAAATAAGTGCCATGAATCAATGCGCTGTGACAAATCCTTGGTGAAAAGGAGCTTGTACCTGAGTATAGCATAAGGGACACACACTTAATCAAAAACATTACACTATATATCTCGTCTATATATATACTTACATATATATCCACCCAGTTTTGTTTGTTTGGTGTTTTCAGCCCGCAAGTAGGCGAAGGAAAAGGGAGGCTACCAGAGGGAACCAACGAAATCATTGTGAAAATCGGCAAGAGAAATAAGCCATGAGATTCTCATGAGATGAGTAAGTCCATGAAGCATGCAGGAAAGGGAAGCGGCAAGCGGTAACTAGGAGCAGCAAAGTAAGTGAATAAGCACGAATATATAAGCATGCGTTATGTGCCAAGACTTTGAGTTCCATGTGAAGAAACTTATGAAACCCCTCCGCGTTGGGGGACTGTGGGTACTAAGTTTGAAACGGAACTTGTGCCAAATCCTCGTAGTTGTCGATATCCTGGAAGTCTCAAACTGAACTCCGATGAACTTTGCCTCAGTGACTCCCTTTACCTTGGCTGCCACATATTTAGAGAGCCATGATAGGAGTCTGACACGGCGGGCAACCAGTCCACGTCCTCAAGCAAGGCGGTATGAAACTGTCTTATTCTAAACTGGTATTCGACGTGCGACGTGTTGTTTCCATCTCTTTCCTATTCCATGGTTCAATCAGGGACTCAATGCACGATCTTTTATCCTCGGCGCAGCTTGAATCGACAGATTTTGAAGAGGTTGATTCTCCGAGAATAGCTTCTCATGAAAAACCACGGAGGGGTTGAAACTTTTTAACTGGCAAGACTCTGCATCTTTTGGCATCTCCCCACTCCTTTGGACCGGGGATGCCTTGCCAGCACAGCATGATCTACTAAACCTGGACTTCTCAGTCTGATCCTTCGGATCATTCTGTTCCTTCTCCTTCTGATCCTTCTGGTCCCCTTCAAGACCCGGGTGACCAAGGTGACCAAGGTGACCAAGCTGCCCTTGTCTTGAAGTTGTCGGTGTGGTCTTCGGCCTATTCGGAAGCGTCGGCTCTACTGGACAAATGCCAAACCTAGAAGGCTCCTGGGCCATCGGCGAACACCACAGCACAGCATCTGTTTCATCCGCCAAATCTGGTGGTCGCAGTGGTGGAGAAATGGGGACAGCCATGGTTCTTTTCAAATTTGATGCAATTTGGGTTGCATCTTCAGCCTGAAAGCTTCGGCTCACGGGTCTCAGTACCTCATGTGGAGGTGCTGAAGGAAACCACACCGAATTCAGTCGTCCTTGTCGTTTCGGGCGGAATTTGGATGTGGACATCGACTCTGTTGCGACCGAGCTGTGGACTTTTCCTGGAATGAAAAGACCACACGAAATCATGCCAGAAGTCTTCCGGCAGCTTGTTCTTTCTTGGAGATCTGGTCGAGTCAAGGCTAAATGCTTCTCGTGTTGCCATGTTGCATTTTCTCGCAGCAGCCGGTCAGTCTTGATATTTCGAGCATGTACCAGCCTAGTCAGCCTTTCTTTCTCCTTCTGTTTGTCTGAAATCAATGTTGGAGACCATTGCAAAGTGTTCGACGTTGCCAAATCTTCCCACTCTCCTGACATGCCAGCAAAAAGGAAATATGGTAAAAGTTTTGATGCCCGAGTCAAATTGGCAAAAGCAACCCACAAACATTGTCTATGTATGTCCGTGTAATTATCAGTTTTCCTTCGTGAGAATACACTTCCTACAATTTCCTACATATTTTTTTGTGTGATCTTGTGGAAACAAAAAGGTGGCCCCTTGTGGCACAGCCAAAAAAAATCACAAAAGAGTCCTCACCACCTCTGCAGTCTTCTCTCCATCACATGCTTTCCCCCTACCAAAAACATCGAAACGGTAAACACCTTAACTTATGAGTGCATACTATGCATACATATGCATACAACATCATACAACCAAAGTTGTCGTTGTGTAGAAGGAAAGTCAATCCCAGCCGCGCCAAAGCTTGGAACGTCGGAACCTTGTAACATCTTGCGCGAACCTACCGCACCCGCGGAACTCTGAAAGGTTGGAACCCTGCAGTACCTAGCAACTCTGAAACCTCGGAACCTTGACTAAGCTCCAAACCACCCCAAAACTCTGTTGGAAACCGCTGACCCGGAACCCCAAAATTATGCAAGCATACACTGCTGTGCTGTTGAGAACAAAATGTGACCTACAAAACCACTCTTAAGTTTTAAGTGCTTACATGTGCTTACAAATGCACAGTACGCACAGTACTCCTTGCATCTCCTTGCCAAGTTTCTCTGTTGTTCCAGAAGTCTTTGCAGCTGTCTGCGATCTTCAGGCGCGCCGCGGGGACGAAGTTTTGGATCAATGGCCCAGGTGGCCCAGGTTTTGGGCATTTCTTTTGGTGGCTCAAGACTCTTCACAGCTGCCTCAGCCATGCTGTCAAAGGCCGTTCTCAACAAATCAGCACGGCGTTGCATGCGGCAGTGCATTTGTGCTCCCACATTCACAACAGCTTCTCTGAGTTCTGATGACATCCGAGTTCGTGCATCCGTGGCATCCATGCGCAGCAAAACAACCTCGCTGGTGCAAACCACCGTGAAGGGTTCCACTTCGAATCCACCAAGTGTTGTGAGTCCAATCCACTGACCTTTACCGATTTCACCCACATCCTGCAAAAGACCGTCTTGACGCACACGGACTTTGCAAAGACCATCTCTAATAATCATCAGCCGCTCACATGCCTTACCTGCAACACAAATGACATGGCCACGTCGCGCTTGATACTCAGTAAAGAAACCACCAAGGGCTTGAGCTGCACCTTCTGTTGCAGACGTTCTGGGCAAGTATTCTCGCAGGAAGTTCACACGTTTCTGCTCCCGGGCAAGGTAGGCGGTACGAAGCTCTCTTTCAAACAAAGCCTTGCTAATGGCTCCCAGCTGGCAGTGTTCGGCTGCAATGATTGAGGCATTACGTCGGGCTCCATACAACAACCCTGTCTCTCCAAAGCATGCGCCGACATGAATCTCCTTCACCTTCGTCGCATTTGATAAGCCTCCGGTGCTTGGATCCACTGCAAATTCATCCTCCTCCGATTCCAGCGCATCACTGGCCATGCCACTGTCGTCACCCGGAGATTCCTGAAAGTTCCGACTCAAGACAGCTTTTGTCAGCAATTTACCTGCAGCTTTCTGGAACCGTTTGGCAGCACTCTGTGCCTCATCACTTGGGCCACTTGGATCTTTGTGCTCGGTTTCTCGGGCTTCGTCCTCAATTTGATGGCTCTTCGCAGGACTTTGAGTCTCATCATGTCGTGACTCCTTGGGGTCCGTTGGACGAACCCAAACACCAGCTGAACCTCTGAGCATGACGTAGCACATATCTGCAACGTCTCCCTGCTTCATGATCACTGAATGTTTGCTCATCTCCATGTACGACATAGCTCGGCAAATTTCTCGCAGAACTGAATCTTCTTGTTCCGTGAAGAATTTGTTGTTTCGTCGCATCAGATTCACCAAGAGCGTGATGTCCTCAGAGCTCCGCTGCTCAGGTGCTTTGAACTTCAAAGTTTGGATTGCGCGGTTCCTGTCCAAAGAGGCCTTGTCTACACCTTTGTTGTCTGTCTGGACGGTCAGCTTTCCCTGGAGTTGATGAGGAAGCAGGGTCTTATCAAGCCACAATAAGCGAGCCTCTTCCACTGGATGAAGGGTCAAGTCACCAGACATACCGCTTTCTTCACCCAGGAATACACCTGCAGGGGCCGTGAAGATCTCAATTTGCTGGTCTCCAAGTCCCGCTCGCACACTAAGTTCCCCCTGCAAGAGATAGCAACTGCGTTGGGAATCCAGGAGAACGTCCTCATCGAAACCCAAGAGTCGCAAAGTGGCCCACTGACATACTTCAAGTCTGACATATGAATCCAGAGCTCCGTAAAGGGGTTGCTTCTCCAATACGCTTGAAATCAGTTGAAGTTGCTGGAAAGATCGAGCACTGGAAGGCATTTGAAGCGCTTCTTCAAGGTCCAGGAGTTGACTTTGATCGCTTCGAACTTTCTCAGCGTTTTCCTGGTACTCCTCGACTTCAGATTGAAACACTTCCTTAGGAACTTCGATCAAATAACACTCTTCAGCAGCTCGGTACTGGCTCGCCCAACCTGCCCCAGCAGTGAACGAATTAAAAATATTTTAAAATTCTTTAATAATGTCTTTCATCTTCAGTTATATAATCAGTTTCAAACAAAGAAAAGAGACTCTTGTCCGTGTACATGCCTATCTATACATCAACAATCTTCATCTGGCAGCACATCATTCGTGAAAATATTGTATGGGGATGTATCGGGCACACAAGAAATTATCCCAATAATTACTACACTGTGAATTCCGAATCATGTCTTGGCACAGGCACTGAGACTTGTTAAGCTGTCAAGAGATGGGCAAATCACAGAAGGCAAAAGCCTAAAGGAAGCGCAGCTGGGTTTCAAGCATTGATGGTGGCATGCGAAACTGATTTGTGCCTCTAGAAACTGAGTAGAAAACTCTGGTGTGTCAAGCGAAAAAAAACTGCATTTTCCCGCTCATTACTGTATTTACATGATCAAGAGAGACGCGCCAACTGATTCAGGTGGACAGCTTGAGCAAAACCATATATTGAAATCCAGAAAATTAAGAAACATAGTGAAAACTACAGCTGTCCGCTGCATGAAGGAGCCTAAACTGTAGGGCAGGATCCAAAACTGAGTAGGACAAATCAAACATCACGAAACATTAATTTCAACGAGTCAGAGTCTGCAAAACGATGGTGCTCCACAACTTTTCCCAACGCCTGACCCACTTCTGCAGACTTTGAGGGCAGTAAGGTCCACGGCACCAAAGCCACAAGGCTGAGACAGCTCCCGCTCCGAAAGGAAAACAAGACCGGCCCTGAGAATTATCATGACAAGCCAAGCCATAATAAGAGGGAGAAAAACTTTACTCTACAATTCCATGCAGGTCCTATTTGTCCAATAATAGGAGCTTTCGCAGTTTTCTTCTATCCGATATTCACGAAGGACACAAACAGGCAATGACCGCGCCTCTTTCAACTTCACGATCTGAAAAGATAAAATCGCCTATAACAGAACCGAATGGCAGGAGCGAGTTCGAGGTCCTCCTGTCCTTCCTGTCCTCCTCTTGTGGTGAGTATTCCAGCTGGCCCTGGACAATCATCAGCCCAGACTCAAACATATCATCTTCTTGGGATAGCCAGCTGTGTGTGGGCAGCCTCTGGAGTCTGCCTTTGCTCAAAATGTTGATGCGGACTTTCTGTGGAAGAGCTCGCAAAGTGGCACATCTTGCCAAAGGAGTCTCTTCAAGCCACGAGTGATCTCGATGTGACAGGACTTCATGGGAAAAGTTTCGGGCCAGGAACGCAAAAACCTCCAGAGGTGCAAGCTCAGAGCGGTGCTGTTGGACATGACGTTCGTAGTCAGACTTGGAGAGGGAGAAACCTTTCCCAGCACAATGCACCACAAGGCTAACACTGCATTTCTTTCCTCCAGCAAGAGCCCATTCACTATGTCGCACCAGCTTGTCCCTAGGGATAATGTCCACACAAATAGGGATTTCTTGCCCATTCTTTTTCTCTTTTGCTTCCTTCTCATCTTCTCGACTGGGTCCTGCCAAAGCCAAAGCCGTCCTTGCTCCCACAACTGCATCTGAGCTTAATCTTTTCTCGCAACGGAGCTCTCCTTTCTCCAAAAGCCCTTCTGGCAATCGTCGCCAGGCAGTTATGGTTGTTGATAATGGCAGAAACACTTCAGATGGAACCTGACCTTCGAAGCTAAGAACATCGTTCTGTTGCACGCTTCGGACTTGCAGAGCGCATGCAATGGCTTCCAGTGTCTCTGGTGTGAAGGATGCAAAGGCATCCATGCGTCTCAGGTATCGGACAATCATTGAGACGTCAGAGATTGAACGAATTCCTGGCAACTTGGATGTCGCGTGAAAAGCTGCAGCACGGTCTCCTGCACATTGAAATGGAGCGCCAAACTTCTCCACAAATTCTTGATCCAGATCAACAGTTGCCACCAGCATCGAAGAACCCATCTGAGGGTTCTTTGTTTGCGGTATCCAGTTGTACCACGATGGCATAAAATTTGTCATGTCAATCATCAAATCACCTGGAAGCAAATTCCGGTTGAAACCTTTCCACTGCGCATCTCCGTGAATGAAAACGCGCAAAGAGGCCGAGCCACCAGATTGCCACTTGGACTCCTCGATAGCTACCTCTCCAAGCTCCCTGGCCTGCTGTAGAACTTTGGAAGAAAATGAAGCAATGGAGCTTCCGAATCTTGGAGCAGCGGTGGACAGTTTGGGCGACATTGGTGACGGTGGGGACGGTAAGGAGTCCCTGATAGCACTTTCGCGACCATCTCTTCGAAAAGCTGCCAATTTGAAACTGGCTGCGGCAGCTGCAAGCTTTTGAGACGACACGGCTTCAACAGCTTCGTCAGCTTCCTCCTGAGGCTGCAATCTGGTTGCAAGCCACTGCAGCGAGACTCCAGGGAACTTTTGAAGAGTCTTGTTTGTGCGCAGAAAACGAACCAATAGAGAGATTTCTTCATGCTCTGGAACTTCAATTTCCTCTTTCTCCTCTGACGAAATCCAGTCAGCCTCCAGCTCCGAAGCTACCGGAGCATCATCTCCTGCATTAGGAGAGCCGTTCTTCTTTTGTTTGGACTTGAGCTTCCTTCGCTGAAGTACAGACCACACTTGCTTCAGTTCAGCATCTGGCAAAGGCCCAGGTCTACAAACTACGAAATCTTGAAGAGCCATCAACGAGGCTTCATCCGTCAATGAAAGCTCAGTGGAACTACTTTGTTCCTGAGATCCAATGTCCTCATCAGTAACAGGCTCTTCATCTTTTTCATTATCTTCTGGAGCAAATCCACAACCCTGGTTCTTCCTCTTTGTCGCTGCTCTTGATCGCAAGCGAATCCAGTTCAGTGCTCCCTCAGTCCCAAACCGCTTTAGGACAGACATGCGAAAAAATCAGCATTTGATGCATTCGCCACGGTCTTCATGGCAAAATGCAAAGAAAAACTTGAACCATTGCAAACCACGCGAGTCACAACAATGTTCTTTTTCATCAAATTCTAGTCCTGGTCGAGATCTGTCTCGTCCTTTCATTTCAGTTGACATTTCAAGCACACTGTTGTGTTTCAGCATGCTCATGTCCAAAAAGCATTTTCAAACAATGCAAGCATAAGAATCCATAAGAATCCGGCCTGAAACCTCATTCTCTGTTTGCTCACGTGTTTCTACAGCCATGGACACACTGGCAGCCTGGCAACATCTGGCAACATCTGGCAACAAAGCGGAGAGATTCCAATTCTGCCCACCCTGGTGAAGCAGGCCAGCAGCACGGGGCGACCCCAATCTGCTGCTTCTGAAACCCACACGCCATTGTCAGCCTCACCGGTGCGGCTCCAGAGATGATCCGAATCAAACTTCCACATAATCTATGTCTATGTTGGAAAATGGCTTGAAAATGGATAGTCCATAAAACATCCATATTTGATTTTCAAAGCCTGATACTTCTGAGTGTGAAACCAGCCATTTCTCAAGTTTTGCATTCTCCTCCAATTTTCTCCTCTTCGCTGTTCCCCTGCCTGCGTAGTGTGGACAATTTGTGGCATCGATGCGCACAAGGACCACAAGGCAATCAAGGCCCCACGCAACATACATGGATTACACGGCCAGATTCTGACTAGCCTGTGAGCCTATTTGCTCTGCCTGAAACCTGAAACTCCACCTAACCAAATACATCAATGAAAATACATCTACAGTAAATACATCTATATACGTCTAAATACATCCAAAAAACGTCCAAATACATCCAAATACATCTAAATATATCTAAATAAGTCTAAATACATTCAAATCCATTTAAGTACATCCAAATACATCTAAGTACATGTATGTGCATCCAAATACGTGCACTTCTCTGCTATAACATTTATATGACCTCAATTGCTTTCGGAGTTACATCCACAACCTCCGAAGTGCACCGGACAGCATACAGTACGGGCTCGGCGGGCTCACCTTTCAACCACCTCTTGTTTCGAGGCTTGGCGGACTTGCCAGCCCTGTCAAGGTTGAAACTTCAACATGTGATGTCCCCGGATGTCCCCAGTACAACTAAGTTTTTCGCATTGAAACTTATTGAAACTCAAGAGCCTGAGTAAACCAAAATCTAAGCAGCGGGCATGAGCTCCAAACCGGGGGTGGCAATGGTCTCACCAGTCAGCGACTTCTTGCCATCTTCCAAGTCCTCAAACTTGCAACAGGGCTTTGTCCCCAGCTTCCTGAGACGTGTGAAAATACTTTAGGACAGACTTGGCAAGTTGACAGGACTAGTTTTTTTCGTGGAGGAAGAGGTGTTAGCTCAGGCCTCTCCAGCCGGTGTTTTGGCAATCCTGGGCATGAGGAGACTCTCCCAGCGCTCCAGCTTGCAATTGAGCCCGGTGGTACCGCAGTTTGATATCTCTCTGCTTGGTGAGATCAAAAGTCGTCACTGATCATACACCTACACAACTGCACTGCTTTAAAGCCTAACAAGTTGGCGTCAGTTTTGCAAAGCCGGAGGTGTTCGTTGGATGCGGGTCCCTGCAGAATCTAGTGGTCGTTTGCCACTGAGCCTCTGCCAGACTATATGACGCTCCTGTGGAGTCCTTGGGCAGGCGATACACAACAAAACACACGGCCTCGTGCAGGCACCTAGGCGCACACTTAGGGCACACTAAGTCTGTACACTCTTCGACTGGCAAATCTTACAGCGCCTGAATTGTTGTCCGCATCTTGCGGACATTGTCAATCTAACACCAAAGTGTCTCTACATATCAAATGGCTATCAAAATATCATGTAAACAATGCTGTAGGTTTGTAGTTTCTGCCAACAGAAGCTGCTTGTAGGTTTCCTATCTCACAACCTCTGCCCTGCAAAAATACAAATCTAAAATGTCTAAAATCATCTCAAATCTTCTAAAATCCCTGCCCACATCAAATCTTTGGTTCTGAACGCACAGGCCTTTGACCAACTTCCTTTGGAAATGTCACTGACTCCAGTTCCTGTTCAGATGCCATTTTTGGTTCAGTTCCTGCTGCCGTTTTCCCTGAATTTTTGGATCGCACCGATCCAGGCAGCGCCTTACTGCTTCATGAGTCTTCTGAATCAAGCTGGGCCAGCTGGGCCGTGTCCACAAGGCGGGGCTTCCTGAAAACTTCTCAAGGAGGGTCGGCAAACGTTGACAGCTCGGTACTTTGCTGGTGGAATTTTCGCCTTCGACGTTGTGCAAAAAGGAACCCAAAGCACCAAAGTATCCCTCATGCTGCAGGAAAAGGGCCTGAATTTGCTTACCTCCCAAGCCAGTTGCGCTGACGCGTCGCATGTTCGTTGCAATGGCTTGTCTGGCAACCTGGTTTTGTCTAAGGAAGTTGCCAGTAAATACAATCCGTGGTATTGAATGCAACCTCGAGTTTAGGAAAGCAATCTGACAAATGTTTTGGGAAATCATGGTGATGAGCGCATTCAGAATCGCTGCATCATCTCTTTCCTTGCTGCCTCTCCCAGCTTTGGCAAAAAAGGACGCAACCAAGTTGCCCGGAAGCTTTCTTCCCCCGGTCAACTCGTAGTCTCCGCCATAGATATCTTCAACCAAAAGATTCAACTTGGATGCATCACCAGCTACGGCCAAGCAACTGGCTTCTGAAAACTCCTTACAATCTGGGCACAAAAGATTGCAAAGACCCCAGAATGTTCCCCCACCCAAGGCTGATCCACTGATTCGTTCGAATTTGTCTGTGCCGTCCACTTTCACGATGCTCACCCCAGAGCCAATGTTTACCAGAATGAAAGGGAATAAGTTCACAGGCTGGAGGAAGCGGCACTCAGATTCAAAATGTGGTTGGGTGCTTTCTTCGCTTAGCCAGCAAATTTCATCTGAAACGGGCTGTCTGAGAAACCATGAAATACCCTTCACGACGACCCCAAGTTCGTCCACGGGCTTCAAAGAAATCCCAAGCCTTTCTGAAAATAAGGAGGCATACTTGTATGCCCCTCCACCTGTTGTGTAGATCTCGTCAATGTGATGATGCAAGTCTTGCGCTGCAAGAAGAGACACAAAGCGATCCATTTTCTCCGACTGGAAGCAAAGGAAATGAAAAACTCCCTGCAATTCCTCATCGTAGAATGCTAGCTCTTTGTCCTGTGCCCCCCAGAATGATCCTTGACGACTAAACACAAAATCTTGGACATCTCTATGGTCCTCACTTCTGACAGCTTCAACGCCCAAGCTTTTGATCACTTGGGCAAATCTGCCGTTGCACCAAGAGGGTCGAATCTCGGACTCAAAAAAGACGAGTTTGGCCAAGGTGCCACCGATGTCCAGGCCCAGTCGACTGCCAGAATGACCTCCCCAATCAGCATTAACCACCATGGCCGCACAAAGGAGGAATCCTGGGCAGCTGGCGCCTGGTCTCTACACAAAAATTGACATGTTCTGCTGAAGCCAGAAAATCATGGCAGATGATAGCAAATTGGCAGTAAGGCAAGAAACCACCAGCAACTACTAAGATCTACCAAGAGCGTTCAAGCAAGACCAAACCTGTTGAAGATAAACGGAAGTTGACAGGATTTGTGTCGAATTTGTATCAGCGCACGGTGCAAGCTGGCCTGGGCTTCGGAACGGTGAATCCATCAAGAGCAGGATACCTTGCTCGGTAGCACGTCCAACTGGTCCAACTCTAAGAGCCGATTGATCCACAAATGTTGATTATTTTTTTTCAACCATTAAATCACAACTAAAGCCGAGGTTCGACCCCCAGACTCAGACAGTGGATCTGATCTTGAAATCTCTCCAAGGCTCTTGGTCCGGTTTCTAATATTGTGGAATTGGAAAAATGTGCTCTCCCTGCTCCCTACTTAGGATGCAACTGTGGTGTCTCCTTGTTCTCCTCCTTCACCTAACAGTTGTTTAATATGTTTTTTGACTTGGCAAACATAACCCGTTGCACATTGGCAGACCATGTGCTTGCAGACAGGCCTTCAAGTCGGGAAGGGGTGGTGGCCTCGGCAACATTCAACTCAGATGACTGGCATTGGCTGCTGCGGTTTTTCTGAGGTTTCTAATAGGTTTCTGAGGTTTCAGCTTCATGTCTTCTATGGTGGCATCGTCTTCCTCCATTGGGACCAGCCTCAGATCTGGTTAAAAAGTGGCGTCATTCTTGGTGCGCTGTGCTCAGGCGCCACACACGACACCGTCCAAGTCATCAAGCTTGGCGTACAGCGTCAAGCCTGCAAGATTTCTTTGCAGCAGCAAATGTTCCTGTGGATTGTCCCCCATCTCCAAATTCAGTGGTGCGAGTTCAAGTTTCCTCGGACTGTTTTGGCACTCGTTCTCACATTTTTCCAAATCCATCTGTATTGCATGTGGTCTCCTTGTTACCCCCCTTACGCACATTAGTTTAATGTTGCACTGGGCACCTTCTGTGACTCAAACAGGACCCCAAAGACGGTGAATGTGTGACAAAGAATCTGACCACTGACGTCCAGGGCCTCTCGATGTAACCCTGGAAGTTCTTGAAGAGGTGCCTGTGATATGGGATCTGTCTTCAGATTCCTCTGCATACAGTATTACAGGTCAGTAATTATTCAAGTAGCATAGGAACATCATAAAGAATTGCCAAAATATGCCAAAATGACAGTGGCATGGAAAAGCTGCCGATCAGTGGTTGGGACCACATCCGCCTCGACCTGCGAAATTGCACCATGCCTCTAACCTTGTGAAGCACCTCAAGACCAAGCAAAATGAAAGGTCAGATGCATCCACAAATGGACTGCCTGAAAGGGAATTTTGTGAGTAGCAGCTTCACAGATAAGTAGCAGACATGAAGCCCACAAGAACCGCTGCGAGAATGCAAGACCTCTCCCGTGACCAGGTCTTTCCCCTGTCAATTCAAAGCTGCTCTCCGACTCTCCGACCATCTCTATACACAGCTGCCACAGCACCAAGCTGCTGCCCGCCTCAGCTTAGCGGATCTCCTTTGTGGCTCCTGCTAAGATGTTCATCTCCCGCTCCACAGATCTCCACACATCTCCACACATCTCCACACACTCACAGTCCTGTGGCACCATGGCCCTTGGAGCCCTAGTCCCAATTTGTAGTCTTTCTTCGCCTGGGTACATCAAAATGCAAATGGCAAGCGCTCCATCACTTTTGCCATTGAAACATGAGACATATCTACCCCCAAGCTTTGGCACCACATGTCTCAACCAGACATCCGAAAAGAACTAATGATGTCAACATAGTCCCATGATGTCATCATGATGTCCCATGTCAACACAGAAACCTTCCAGGTCCACTTGGAGATGTCCTTCTGAGGTTGGCACAACCATCCCATTGCCAATTCATGCTCGGAGGCAGAGCGATGGGTGATTGGATGGCCGATAAAGCAGGCTGCTGGGGCTGCTGGTGTGGCTTTGTTCCCAGTACCCCAAAAAACGAAAACAAAACTTTGCCGGGCGGCAAATAAGCATGCCAATCAGTGCTCACTGCTGCGCAGATCAGCTGCTAGGACACTTCTTATCCTCCGTTTTAATGCATGTTCACAACATTGACTGGTTTCTTGCATGTGCCCACGAGATTCCACAATGTTCTTGGCTGTTCTATGTAGCAATGATTTTACTCAAGCTGATGAAAGATATGAAATTGTCATGCTGAGTTTCAAAATCAAAACGACACAGTGCGACACAGCACAAATTAATCTGAACTTGCCGCGCTACAATAGCTGCTACAAAGCTTCCCTCACTAAGACGATGCGAATCCGACTCAGTTTTCTTGCGCTGTGAGGCCCGGTCTCACTGGGCAACCGAAGTCCGCAAATGTTGGACATCTATGGAAATGGGAAACTCAGCAGTGGAGAACTTGATTACTTGATTTTCTCTCAACCGCTTCACCAGAATGCTGTAATTGTATGCAATTGTCACTTTGGAAATCCAATCCGAGCTTCACAGGTGGCAGCTGGCTCGTGCCTTTCTGGGGGAGTGCAGCATGCCAAAACAGGGACGTGGAAATCTAAGGGTGAGCATAGGAAACAGCAGGCAAGTCATAGTATGTCATGGTCGCATTCGCAGGAACTTCCCTCAAAACACCTGCTCGCTCACCCACTTCAAAGGAGGATCTTGGCTACTTGGTCAAAAGATTCCAAATGAGATTCTTTGTAATCTCGACATCTTGAGTCATCTCAGCTGCCATGCTTGGCATGGCGATCTGAGGATATTGGTATTTGCCACATGGCTTGGCCTATGTGTCAAAAAGTGAACAAAAAAAAAACGAGGAGAATAGCGAGTTCGCTGAACAGCTTTAGCTGAATAGCACACATGTGCCTGGAATTGTAGGAACATGGTTCCACTAAGCTGCAACTTGTCTACCTCATTCTCCAAACTCACCGATCCATGATCTTCTCTGCCTGAAAGTGTACTATGGATCTCGAACTGCATACGAACAAACTCACCCTGCATCAAACTCAGGGTCTAATCCACATCACACACGGAAGATTCATCAATAAATTAAATACAGCTCCGAGATTCTCCCAGTTAGGCATCCGAACCTCGAATTCTAAGTTGTGCTGAGCTCAAAGCAAGCGAAAGATCCAGTTTCAAGTCTTCCTCATCAATTTCAATGTCGAGGTTTCCATCATACCTATATTGGGAAGCTCTAATCCCCGGTCACTTGAAGAGGGGATGATGGGATTCACATCTCAAACCTATCTGCATGAATTTTTGTATGTATGCTATCTACGTGTATGCTATAGAATACGTGTTTAATAATTTTGAGCCCGTTGAACCATTTCGTGTAAGCCTATACAACTATCACCTCACGCGGGTTTGGGGCATTGTTCATTTCAATCTAATGCCTATTCACCCCGCTTCGCGTGGGGTGGCCGCCCACACCGCAGGTTTATTTCGGTCCGTGAGAGGGGCTAAGGGTGGTTTTCCCCGTGGGGGCTCCCCAAGCTAAGAATTTTCACTTTCCCCCCCCGTGGGGGCTCCCCAAGCTAGGGAATTTTCACTTTTCCCCCCCGTGGGGGCTCCCCAAGCTAGGGAATTTTCACTTTTCCCCCCCGTGGGGGCTCCCCAAGCTAGGGAATTTTCACTTTTCCCCCCCGTGGGGGCTCCCCAAGCTAGGGAATTTTCACTTTTCCCCCCCGTGGGGGCTCCCCAAGCTAGGGAATTTTCACTTTTCCCCCCCGTGGGGGCTCCCCAAGCTAGGGAATTTTCACTTTTCCCCCCCGTGGGGGCTTCCCAAGCTAGGGAATTTTCACTTTTCCCCGCCACTTTTCCCTCCCTTGGAGGCTCTCCAAGCTGCAGAATTTCAAATAGCTAGACAACGACGCCTAGATAGTCCCCCAAATCCCGTGTTCTTTGAATGTGTTTCCATGTTTTTGCAATGGTTTCCTTCAAAGCACGGTACTTTACACTTTTGTCGCCATAAAACCGGTCGAAAACATCATGTTCGACAATGCTTCCAATTCCCTTATCTCCCCAACCGTTGAAAATACCGCTATTTACAGTGTTTTCTTCAATTTTTCCATGTTCCAATGCCGGTGGCCAACTCCAACATATATATATATAAGAAATCCTTCCAAAACATTGTTTTTGACAGTGTTTTTCCAATGTTTCCAGTCAAACAGACGGTAATTTACACGTTTTTTGCCATAAAGGCAGTAAATCCTTCCAAAACATTATGCCATTCCCCTTGCAAGTGGCACTTTTCCCAGATCAAAGTGGCACTTCTGGGTTAGTGGAAGAATCAGGTAGTTTTATACTGTTACTGCAGCCGCTGATCTCAAAGATGCCGTGGCGATATGTTTTGTCCTCCTCAAGCGATGAAGATGGCTCGCTGGAAAGTTCCGAAGAGTCCAGCTCTTCTGAGGAGGACTAATTCTAGATTAGGGACTCAGTCATATTTTTGGTGTCAAGAAGCCCCAAGTCAATCTGAATTGTGTAAGCGCTCCGGTTCACTAGGAGGTGAAGCTCAATGAACACCAAAGATCTTATCTGGATATAGGCAACCTTTTCTTGACTCGAAGTGGATGCTTGGCAAAAACTGTTTGAATTCAATGATGTAATGCAACGATGTTTGAACTCAAAGTATGTCAAATGTCTCACCCGTGGTGTATGCAAGCTTTAGGACTGTCCAAGTGGATTGATGAATTTCCGGGCGACTTCACTTTTGCTAGTGATTGCCGCTGGCCTGCAAACCGTCATATTCCATTTAGAATTTACCTAAATCGATTTTGGTTTGGAATTCAAGGCAGCGGAGCTGATACTCCATGGCAAGCTTTGGAGATGCTTTTTGAAGCAGCCCAAAAGAAGAACCATCTCCGCTATTTGCTGGGTTCTTAGCCCACAGGGTTCATTTTTTTTCTCTTCAACCTTGAGTTCCCAACCATCCTCAACCCTTTTTCTCCAGACTCTATTTCTGGAAGTTGAGGTCTGCAAGTGAGATTCATCAGGCAAAACGCAGATTCCTGAGGGAGAACTTTGAATGTAAGAAGTTTCTTGCCTGATAATGTTTGTGTTGGATTCCTATAGACCAATCGAAGCCTATTATTGATTGAAGACTTTAAGGTTGTCGAGCAACCTGTTCACGAACAACGTCAAGTGGCTGGTCAACCTCCTATGTTGCTACATTTGTGGGTTCCCGTGTACCCCATACTCGTTTCTTCATGTTGGAACACAGCTGCTTCAAGACCCCAACGCTCGACAGCTTTTCCGCATTTTGCGGAACTGCCGACAAGTTCGTCCCGCAGTGACTAGGCTTGTTGCTATCAAAGATGTATGATGATGTATGATTCTTTCTGATGTATGTACGTGTGTGCACCAACTCATAACTCTTATATCAAGTTTGAAAAAATCAAGTATCTGAGATCATCTTGCTGGAGAACGTGATGGGCTTTGAGAGGGTTCTAGACCGTATCCTTAGCCTGATTCGACGGAACTTGGTCGGGTATCTTGCCAGAATCACGTCTAATCTAGTCCATTAACAAAAAAGACAAGAAACAGATTTGAGAAGTGTGTGCTTCACAGTACGTATGAGGTATGAATGTGCGGTAGTCCGTCTCTCACCGCATCTTGGCCAACTTATATTTAGCAAGACATACTGCCTATATAAATCTATATATATATTGAATATACCATATCTTATTTAACTGTATTTACATTTATAAAGATATATTCAAGGCAGACTATACAATTCTGACTATACATAATATTATATATAGTATTAAATCAATATATATATACATATATCATACTATATATATATACACATAATAATACAAACATTGCTGTATATATTAATTATACATATATTTTTTGTAATATACATATTTAAGATAAAATATCTACAATATATGTTTATATATAAATATAGATATTTTCTATTACAAATAACAAAAATAATATTTAATAAACACTATATATATATATATAAAATCCATATTATGTAAAATAAATATGATATACACAAAATATATTCTATAAATAATGTAAATGGTATACAGTATATATTTAAAAAAAATCTTAAACATATTTTGTGAAATACACTTTATAAAATGTTTAAAAAATAAAAAGTATTTCAAAATAAATATGATATATGATGTGCATATTATATCAAAACACATTGTATATATATATATATATCATATTTAAAATATAATGTATAAATATGTTTTATTAAATATTAAATGTTTAGCATATTCAGTTTTTAGCATATACAATAAATAATATATATTTAATATTTACAATATTTAAAATATATTATTCCCCACCTGCCAGGTAAGGGTTGTTAGATTTTATAAGAGCAGTTCTCCTCATCCTCCTCCGCCTCCTCCTCTTCCTCCTCCTCCAGTTTCTCCTGGACCATGTCTGCATCAACTTCCACGTCCACTTCCGCCTTGCCAACTCTTCGCCAATCTCTTCGCCAACTTCCGCGCGCAGTGGGCACTGTTGCACCTCAACTGCCGGCTTCCGCCTTGCCAACTCTTCGCCAATCTCTTCGCCAACTTCCGCGCGCAGTGGGCACTGCTGGACCTCAACTGCCGGCTTCGGCCTTGCCAACTCTTCGCCAATCTCTTCGCCAACTTCCGCGCGCAGTGGGCACTGCTGGACCTCAACTGCCGGCTTTGGCCTTGCCAACTCGTCGCCAATCTCTTCGCCAACTTCCGCCCGCAGTGGGCACCGCTGGACCTCAACTGCCGGCTTCCGATCTGAGTGGGCAAGGCTGGACCTCAACTGCAAGGTTCTGAGTGCAGTGGGTACCTCTGGACCTCAATCAGGGACCTTCCGAGCCCAGTGGGCACCGCTGGACCTCAACGACCAGATAGAATGCCAGAAGATATGCCAGATAGAACGCCAGATAGCATGTCAGATAGAATGCCAGAAGATATGCCAGAAGATATGCCAGATAGAATGCCAGAGGATATGCCAGATAGAATGCCAGAAAGTATGCCAGATAAAGTGCAAGAATATTTGCCAGATAGAACGCCAGAAGATTTACCAGATAGAATGCCAGATAGAATGTCAGAAAATATGCCAGAAGATATGCCAGATAGAGTGCCAGAAGATATGCCAGGTAGAATGCCAGAAGATATGCCAGATCGAATGCCAGAAAATATGTCAGATAGAATGCCAGAAGATTTGCCAGTAACAAAATGTATAAATGTCATGGTGGGGATCACACGAAGTAAAGTAATTATATATATAATATTTAAAATATATATTATATGTAAAATTTAAAGTATATAATACATATAATTTATTTTAAGTTTTTGCTTGTATTATCATGTATACATAATCTGTTTATATTATATATGATCTGGATAATATATATATATATTTATTTATCAAGTATATAACATTTAAATAATATGTATGATATATGTACAATATATATTGTATATACATATACATATATATTGACCGCAGATTCCTCTTAGCCACCCATCTAAGTCTAAATTAGTATCTTCTTCCTTTGGCACCCTAGGAAGCAGTTTGGCGCCCCGCTATCGCGGCAACGCCTCTACATCTTCATCATCCGCGATGATGTTTTGGTTGAGGGGGCTCTGGGAGGAAAGTTTGAGCAATGCATCGTTGACCAGTTGTCTTCCCTCAGAATGGATGTTGAGACCACTTGGCTACTCAGCTGACAGTCGGGTTGCAACGCAGCTATAGTTCCAATCGAAGTGCAACGACAGACTACCTCTAGTTATCAAATCCCCCAACTATAACTTTTGAATGAAATGGACAACCAAGGGACAAACTCCTTCTTCCTAATGACGATCCTTGCGTTCAAGCAGATATTTACCGCCGTCACCAGCTTCAGCAGAAGAACCGGCGAACGATACTAGGCTCAATCATGTGTACAGAAAGGCATACAAGCGCATCCCGTATAGTAGTTCAATCATTTTTGATCAGTATTATGTTTTTCGTGTTTGAGGCCGGTCAATCCCAATGCTAAATGGATTGCTCGTCATCAAACCTGGGCTCAAGAGCGACAGGCAAGACTTTGACCAGAATTTACAATGTGTTTTTTCAAAACAATCTGGAACAATTTATTCCATGCCTGTTTTTGGAAGGTGGACATTGGCCAAACTGCTGGCCTCTTTGCTTCACGATACCCACAAGCTGCGCTTAGTGTCACAACCCGAAGGGAAATGCAGGCCCTATGTGAAACTGGAGAGTGTCAAAAGAATTGTTTATTCATCACATTGTTTGCACCATATATATATATATGCAATGGCTACCAGCCAGGCTCTAAATCTCCTATTGGGCTACAAGAAGGATGTTGCACTGGCAGACACGTCTCAGAACTTGGGAAGTTTGCCAAACATCACCACGAAGGACAGACCCATGATGTGCTTAACGCCAGGTTCTCAGTTGACAATCTTAAGAAAAATACGAGTTGGGACAAATTGGATATCTTGATTATGAATCTTTAGTTGGCAATCTAAAGAGACATACTTTTTGGGACCAAATGGATATCATTATGTTTCATTATGAATTTAGTTGACAATCTTAAGAGAAATACTTTATGGATTTTGAATATTTAGTTGACAATCTTGAGAGAAATACTTTTTGGGACCTTTGGATACCATGATTCATTATCAAAATTTAGTTGACCATCGTAACAGAATATACCCACATAATCACAGGCCAGATTCATCCAGCAGCGGCCGCTTGTGTGGCTGCACGCTGGACTAGAAACATAAGAGACATACTTTTTGGGACCAAATGGATATCATGTTTCATTATGAATTTAGGTGACAATCTTAAGGGAAATACTTGTTCGGACCAAATGGATATCACGATTTATTTTGAACATTTTGTTGGCAATCTTAAGAGAAGTACTTGTTGGGACCAAATGGATATCATGATTCATTATGAATCTCTTTTTGTTTGGACCATCTTGCCTTTAAGGCCCCAGGGGCGATTCCTGTCCTTCGTGCACCAGCGGTACATCACTGGCCGGGAAACATGTCTTCTTCAGGGCATGCCCATTCATCGTCTCAAACTCTCCAGTGTCTCAGAGAACGCATCCCAGCTGCATATGGCTTCCGTCGGTGTGATCCACATATTGTTCCGTGTAAAATGAACTTAAGGTGATGTCTCGACATGTTCAAATCAGGTACTCCAATCTCTGGCTGGCAACAGCATGCACATGAGATGCATTATGGCTGCCATATGTGCGTCGCTCAAAGTTGTGTCCCCGCAGAAGTTGTACACCAATTTGGACTTGGACTTGAACTTTTAATTAGAGCTGTCAGATGAGAAAAAAGAAGTGTGTTGGTATGTGATGCATAGAACGAATAAATTGAGCATGTTCATCTCTGAAAAAGACAAATATGTTTGTGTACCTGTACCTGTTTGATTCTGTGCCTAGATCATTTTAGATCGAACCTCAATGTGATGTGCTGAGCAGCTTATGTGACGTGATGCCACTTGGCCGATGGAATGATGATGAAGATAGTTCTTCATGTGGTGGGTGTCAGAGACCAGCAGCTGGCAATCGCCGACGGTATGATCCTACTGAAAGTTCTGAACCTGAGTTCCTTGAATACAATTCAGCACAATGCAGTACCTGGTGCAAGTACATGCCATCGCACACACCATCAAACATTCACAAAATTTATGTTAGAAAGATTCTATTTCCTCTTAGCCAGTTTAGGATTTATCCCTCATCAACCTGGCCCAGGGCTTCTGTGAATGACTCTGGCTCAGAATCGCTCAGCTCAGACTCAGATGCTGGATCAGATGCGGAGCAACTGACCTCGGAGGTGGTGGAGCTCTCACTGCAACGCTTGCAGTCACTCCATGCTACTCAAAAGGGGTCCGTTGATGAAGTCAAGAACAAGTATGCCGAACATGGTATGTCCAAGTCAAGGCTGAAGAATGTTCTGAAAAACCCACCATGCCAGTGTCAATGCAGCTTACCCATACGGGTCTTGATGATGATTACCCAAGCTTTCTGGCGGCTAACCAAACCAGCTCAAGACTCCCTCCTTTGGAGTTTGCAACATGAAGTGGGTCCAGGTAGAAAACGTTGGTCCATGCAAGGGTACCCTCTATGCAAAGATGCCTGGGCTACCTTCTTGGGGGTGGGAAAGCATAGACTGAATCGGTGCAAGAAGCGGTTCCATGGAAAAGATCTCAGATCTATTTCTGGTCCTGGTGGAAACCAGCCTGAATTTCTGAATCCTGCAATGTCCAACTGCCTGCTTATCTCAGTCCCCTTTGTTCCCCAGCTGTTTGCCTTCTGCCAGCCTCTCAGGACCGAACGCTCGCCCAGCTGTGAAGACTGCATCGGCTACGTCCTTCTTTGTGCACATGTACTGGAGTGCTGGGGAAACGACGGCGGTCCTGTAACTTTCCCAAATTAAAGCTTCAATGTAACATTCTGGAATAACCAGTCCATTGCATAACAATAATATGTGTCCATGACGTTTATGATGATGTAACCCAACATTTTCGGCATCATTATTGCACCAAGGGACCACCCAAAGTCCTTGCTGGAGATCTCAGATGAACAGCTACGGGAAAACCTATTAGCTCGTCTCATTGATGCCAAGCTTATGGGCCCTGGATTGCAAGTGGGATTCAACCATGACCCAGAGGGGCTACCGGAACGAAAGCTACCACATGGGAACTTTGCAACGCTTTACATTATGTATGAATCATTTTGCAAGGCAGCAGGGGAGGAGCCTGCCTCTCGTACTGTATTCTACCAAGTTGGAAAACGTTGGAAGGTATGCTTACGTTTCCACAAGCCTTCTGTTCATTCCAAGTGTTGGACTTGCTCCACTTTGAAAGCTCGCATTGCAAATGCAATTGAGCCTTGCATGCTGTGTGTATTCATTATTACGTTTTTTTTAGGTGACCAAAAGCAAAGGTCTGCAACATCTTGCAGGGGGTTGGCTCATTCTTGCTGTAACATATACATCATTCCTGCAATCTGAGGACTTTCAGGAGCACACTCGCCTTGCAGATGAACTTCTTTTTCATTACAGTCAACAGTGGAAGGACAGGCAGGTCTACTGGCTAGCGCGAAGTCGCTCCAGGACGGAGAGAGACATGATGACAATGATCATAGATTCTTTTGATCATTGCAAGCTGATGTTACCGCGATTTCCCAACCGGCGAAGCCCTAAATCCTCAGTCTACGAAACAATCAAACGAGCCCTGGATGAAACATAGTGGTTGTAGGGTGATTTGTTTAAAAGTGTTATAGTCAGATAATGTTCAGGCAGATCTTATTGAACTGATGGCCTCAGGAACCTCAATGACCCTCACTTGTGCCATATGCCACGGATGGGGCATATACTTTTTTTGGGCTGATGAAGGCCTCCCACAAGGGTCCAACTGGACGCTTGAAGTTGCATCTTGGCTAAGTGTTGCTGCTTCCGCGTCTAAAGGGATGCCTTTTCCTCATCCTGGCTTTAGGCGATGAAAGCGATTGACTACGCATGGTCATACTGTCGCCGCCTTGGGAAGCAGTTCCCTTCAGAGTTGCTTGGCCTGACTGCGTTCGTGGGCTCATTTGGGTGCACTAGTTTCAAAACTTGTTGAGGCTGTGGTTACAGGCAGACAACGCCTGCAAAGAGGTTCGTAACTCGTCTGTGGGCCAGCTGGCATGCTTGCTATGCCAAGCTCAATTTTTCACAACGGTGACACAAGCTCATTTACAAGTTGGTCACACGCATGAAGACGTAGGCTGGAATTTACTGTTACAAACAAAAATGTGTTCAGTCCAATACACTTACCTGATATTTGCTGGTGTTGATATCCCTGCAGACGCAGCACTGGCTGTGGTGACCTCCGCTCTTAACGGAACTAGTGACATTCAAACTCCTCGAGACCTTCAGAGGCTTGGTGCTAGGATGTTTGTGGTTGTGGGCATGGCGCACTTGGTGTTAGCATCCCCTTTCAGTCTTTGACAGGGCGATAGAAGCTCGAGTTGCTCCACTCTTCCGGTCGTATGGAATGGAATGTGTGGCAGAGATTGTTGACACCGTGTCTTTGAATTGGTTATTTCATGTTGAACACAAAGAATGTCAACACTACGTAGTTAAAGAATAATATCTAATATAATATCTCGTCTTTGAATTATGTTCATCTAAGGCGAGAGATTGGAACCACTTGATGCCTGGCTGCGTCTCTCTTTACAACGCGTACAAAGGGAGAAAACAGAAGCCAGGTGAAGAGCTAAAGAAAGTCCCACAAATGTTTACTTTTCTGAGGCGAGAAGGCAGGGCATATTCCAAAGTGTACTGCTATTGGATTTGTTTTCATTTTTCTGGTATGTCAAGTTGCTACCCACCCATTCCTGCCACGTCTGGGGTCCTCCATTTGCTCAGATCTTCCTGGCGATGGATATCAGCTGGCCACAGAGGAGACGGTTCCGAAGAGGCTCAGGGTGGCTGGGAACAGCAAAGACATATTCTGCTTAGTGAAAATGAACATGTCGGACACGGTTTTGTGCCAAGACCCTTTGTTGGTATACCCTGCTGGTCTCCAAGCGTCAAGTGACCATTTCTGGGACCGAATTTCCCGGAACATTCACCATGCAGTGATTCAACAGAAGTTGGATGGGGAGCGTGCTGCAGAGCTTACCCGTCTTGCCAAGACTTTGAAAGCCGACTTCCCCCACTTTCACAGAACATACCAGTACTATGAGATGTTGATGGATGAAAACCGTCCTAGGCAACCTCTTTCGAAGCTTTTGTTTATTGCGGCTGGCCCACATGCCCAGTCGAGGGTTGGCGGAGTGCAGCTTGGGCAACGCCCAGCGCCACCCAAGCCGCATCACTTGAAGGTGGTTTTCCACCGGGGATGATTCCAGGGGCTCATGGGAAAAATGTCAGCTAGACTTGTTGCTAAAGCTTTGTTGGACCACATGCATGTGCTGGCAAACTCATCTAGAATCTAGACATGTATGGATCTGTTTTTGTACATACTTGGGTTCAAATCAAGGCTTCATCCCGGGCTGATCTTTTGATGGGGTGTTGCTTGCATCACGCCTGCCATGGACTTTGCGAATGATTCACCATTGGGACAATTGTCAGCGTACTTTGATACAGTCAGATCCTTACCCGATTTTACCCATAAACTGTATTGTGTAATGACATGTATGCTGTCTCACATCTGAACATGATGATGATATTATAGAAAGAACAAACCCCATCACACTGCCGTCCTCCAAGGTTGTCTCCCAATGCAACTTGGGTGAGTATGTGAACAAGGTCTTCTCGGACTTGGGCCTGTTTCAGCAGGTTGGCAACTTGGCCCCCTCCCCCAATAGTAGTGCGTAGTGGTTGATCAGTCTACAAAATGTGTGTTTGATGCTGTAGACTGTCTAGGTGGTGGACAAACTGATCCTGGAACCGTACGACAACCCTTCTGACCGAAAACCAACCATCACTTTGGTGCCATCAAGTTCTCTCTCTGAATTTTGGATTGGCCTGAACTACTTTGACATCACGCGTGGTGGCAAGAATGGATGTGGGGTGTTTCCAAAATGACATGCTATGAATGCTTGTTTACAGTAAACTGTGAGACATATAGATACAAAATATATATATACAGTACTATATTGGAGATTTATATGTATGTATCTTTTATAACTCTTATTCGATCATTAACAGAAAGCTATGTATAATATAGTTGATTATAAAACAAAACATATATATATATAACACATATACTTATAATATATTCTCCCTGCGTTTCAATGATGTTTGAAACTGTCAAATCTGATTCCCTGACAGTCTACCCGCAGAACAGCCAGTTCGCCCTGCACTGGCGTGAGTTTTTGGGCGGCTACCGGTCCACAGAATCTGTTGAAACGAAGTTCCCCTTTAGTGACAGCTCTCGTGCGCTCCGGGTGAACTCAATTGGGTTCGTGGATTGGCAAACCAAAGTGCTCATCATGGTGTCCATTCTTGCCATGTGCCATGAATTGGATACTTGGTTGGACATGAAAATTTACCTCGACTCAAACTTAGTAACCCTTAGCATAGTAAGCAAAACCCTGCCACATCCTGCCACTTTCCACCAATCTGCCCGCCTAGATTGCTTCAGGAATGGACTGATGAACAGCTCAGTGATCCTGCAGTGGTGCACATGTTGAAAAGCTTCAGGTGGGTGCGATGTTCCTTTACCTACTTCTCAAACCCTGCTCACCACCACCTCCATAGTTTGAGACTCTTGGAAAGCTTTTAAACACCAATCCTGATAAGTGAAAAAAGTTACTGCATCCAGCAATACTTCGTGTTGTGCTTCTACTAAGAAGTGGGCCACATCACCGCAGAGAAACAGTCGCCATCGGCAATCCAATTCTATGCTGATTTGAAGGAGGCAATTGCACTTGAGCGTAGACTTCAACAAGGTAGCAAACCCTTGAAAGACATTCTGTCCAAGATGGTTGCAGACTACAACCGCATGGTCACTGTCCGCTCCCACCGGATTGACACAAATCGCCGGAATATGGCATACAATCTGCTACTCAGTTGAAACAAAGATTATTTCTTTATTTATGTCCTACTCTTGTGTTTGGGGAAGGGGGCATTGGCCTGGGTTTGGGTGTTTTGGTATTTGAGGCTCAGAGCACCTCCGGAATTCCATCAGGTTGTTCATGCCCATTATGACGTGTACAAGCACAGTCAGTCAGGACTGATCTTTTCTCAGCTATGGCAGAGTCAAACTTGAGAAAACCATCATGGAAACATTTTGAAAGTCACTGGGTAGATCATTATATCACTTGACCATTCCCTCCAGGAATCACATTGGACATCCTCGCCCTGGACTTTTGGGTCCCAGGCTCCTGTGCCAGAGCGGATGCACCTCAGTACAAAGGCAAGGAGGTGTTCAGGGAGATCCTGGAAGTGACTGAAGCTGTCAGCATTTTGTATGTGGAACGGGTGACCCAGGACAGTATCTTTTCAATTCATGGTAAAAACACAAAACCCATGATGTTTTGTGTGTCAAGTCAAGTTGGCTTTCCTAGATGTCAGTTGATCATTTCCTAATAGCCCCAAGATCGGCAGCTCTCCAGGATTTTTGCAAACGTGCCAGCAAAACCGCTACATCAAGAGTGAAGGAGACATCCTTGAAAAAATGTGTTAATCCATATTTGAAGTCACAGTTTCAATCAAAGCGGGACCCAACACAATCACAAGTCCACCCCCTGCCAGAAGCAGAGCCAGCTGGATGAAACTGGTCACCTGCAACTCTTTGACGTGGTGTGTTTGTGGCTTTGGTTGCAACCAAAGCTGCGCGCTGAGTTTCCGGGCAGCACAATGCAACACCATGACGAGCTCTTCAAGAAGGGGTCTCCTGGATGCATTTAGCTGGATTTTGGGTGACCTTTCAGAAAACCCGTCAGTTTCTAGGGGTTGGACTTGGCTGGCGCCAAATACAAATGTCATTTTGTGATTGGTTTTTGGGAAAACCCGTCGCTTTCTAGGTATTGGACTTGGCTGGCGCCAAATACAAATGTCATTTTGTGATTGGTTTTTGGGAAAACCCGTCGCTTTCTAGGTATTGGACTTGGCTGGCGCCAAACCCCAAAAAATCAATCATTTTTAGTCTTTAGATTTCAGGCCAAAAATGTGATTGGGTTTCCAGAAACCCCGTCGCATTTCCTGGGATCACGGGCATGTCAATCATTTGTTCATAATAAATTTGAATCTGTCTTTGTGATTGAATGCTGCCAACATAGTCAAATCATGATTGGGTTTCTGGAAACCCCGTCGCAATCCTGCACCGATTTTCAGGGTTCAAATGTGATTGGTTTTTTAATGTTTTTATATTTTTTCAATTCTCTTCCCTTCCAGGATGTTGGACAATGATCTGAGCTCAGTGATGCGTGCTGGTGAGCCGTTTGATTGGAAGAGGATTAACTTCGTGTTGGAGGCAGGGTCACGGAATGTTAAGTTATAACATGCTGGGGCCCAGGGTTTGTACTTTGATATCTTCAAGACTTGTTGGTGGCTCTCCAACCATCTCAGCGTCTTGCTATCACATAGAACTAACATAGTGATGGTCTTATAGTTCATAAAGGATTTGCCTATTTCAAAAAGGATCGCTATTCCATGGATCACTCAGAGTCTGAAAAAATCGGATTGACTTGTGCACTAGGTGCGTGGGCAAACGGTGGAATCATTCATCAGCCAGTCGCAAGACCGGCAGCGCAACGCTATGCAGAAGTCGGTGCAGGCAGCATTCCGGGCATGGCAGGAGCAGCTGGCCTCTGACCAAGTTATCTTTGAGCAGCAGCAGATCATGCTGCTTTCCTTAACTAGAAAATCTCTGAGCATGGCTATAGTGTTAGCCTGGGAATTAAAGAACACATGTTGGGTACAATTCAAAAGGATTTTTTGATGCGATGAACAGCATTCATGTCCTTATGTGATAGTATCTTGTCCCAACTATCTATACTGTTGTCTTAAGACCCCCGATCCAGAGCCCACTGCGATCGGTCCTGCCAAATCGTCCAAATCTCATCAGTAAGCCATAAACCTGCCGACGGGTGGCTACCCAAGGCTGGAGAAGTCCAATGCAAAGACCCGTGCTAAACTGGTGCGCCAACTGGAGGAGCATGTTTGCAAAAAAATAGTTGGGCTGGGCCTGAGAGTTGATAGCTTACAGATCAATAATTATACATATAGACTATACCCAGAACATCCCAGAACTATTACGAAGAACATGCCAGAATTAATACAGTAGGTTTAGGGATCCAAGCCTTTTGGACTAACATGTTTTTCAAAATAATGTTCCCTCCCATTGTTCCGAGAATGATCAAGTTGATGTAAAGTTCTTCCACATTGGCTCTTGATACTGCAGGAACAGCATCACAAAGCATGGAAGTGCGTCAAGGAGTACCTATCCAGCACTCTCAGGCTTTTCCCAGGTAAATCACCAGACGCTGTCAGCACCGTAATGCCGGAGTTGAATGGGTGGATTGAAGAGACGCTGTCCGACATCGCAGAGGTGCAATCAGCGCTGGATCACGGAGTGATCTTATGGGTCAATTTGCCCAGTGTGGGTATTTTGAGCGCTCACAGACTGGATTGGGTCTTGACGTACTTGAGCAACACTTTGAACAAGTACAAGAAGAACGGGATGGCAATTGTGATTCACGCAAACCGAGCGGGACAAGTTGGCGGGACAGAATGGGAGAAAAAAATGTTGGTTCAAAATACTGGTTCCACCTGTTTGAAAAGGCTCTGCCTATCTAGTAGGAACTCTCCCTGATTAATTTCAATATATATATATAAAATAGTATATATATATAATAGTATATATAATATATATATATATACAAACAAACATATATTTCAACAATGGCTGGGTGAATGAAAAGTGGATATATCTTACGTTCAATGCAACAGCAATCCAAGATTTATGAAACCAAGCTGCGTGCGCAGGAAAGACCAAGAAGTCAAAAGTGAGGTGAAGGATGAGGATGAGAACACAGCGAAGAAGGAAGAGGACACTGATGATGATGATGAGGATGAGGATGCACCACTGGTCCAGGATGCTGATGTGCGCGATGTACGCTATCAGTTCGAGATTCTTGATTGGTTGTTTGGATCTGTTCTTTCCCCACTACTCTACTTGTAAAAATCAAAAAATCTTGGGAAACATGGCTAGTGAATCTGTTCCCTGCTTTCCGTTTTGGCATCCAACCACCTCTCGACCAGGAAAAGCTTGAGTCTGAAAGAACGCAACCTTTTGGTACGCCCTCTGAGCTTCATCTTTGACCCTGAATCTTGCAATGCATTGTTGATATCTTTCCTTGCCTTTCTTTTCAGAACACAAGGGTTTGGTTAGCCAGGAAAAATGGTTTCAATTCCCATCCATTCAAAAATACTTCCCTTCTATGTCTATAACTGTTTAGTTGGCCCCGCGGCTTAGGAAAGTGTGTATGGAAAAAGGGATGGTCTACTTCCTGCATTGGCTGTGGTTAGCAAGGCGGACAAGAACAACCAGTTCGTTACCAGCAAAGCTTTCAAGATGGGCTGCGTCCACGGCATTCAAATGCTGCCCAGGAACCAAATGGTGAAGCAGAATGTTCTTTGGCTACTCCAGTAAATATTGTAATATTCCCAAAAAACAAAAAAAGCTATGAGGTTTACTGCGCACTTCTAATTTGAAGATTTTGTTGTTTCAACCCCAAGCCACCCCTGACCCGGAAATTCTGACCTGGTCGGCATTTCAGGCACCATCTGAGCGCCCTCACCTGGGCCGTGCTATGACAGACGTACAGGAGATGCGGCAGGCTGGGGGTTTGGGTCTCCAGTAACTAATTTGTATTCTCCCATAAGTTCCCCTATTTTGATTCAAAGTTTTAGAGTTGTAGGGGCTCAATTGTTTCTTGGGATCTCTTGGGGCAGGTGGCAGGTGGCACAGACTTGGTGCGGAAAGCTCTTTCTGCCCTAGCCCCACAATCCATGTCAACACTTGTGCTGGCTGATGTCTTGGCGAATGATGGTTGGCCAGCGCTGGCAGCATTGGAAGACTCTTGTGGGTTGGTCACAATGTACCATTTTGTCTTATTGGTGCAATCATTTTTTCTGCTTTATGGGATGTCCTACCATTATTACATTAGGATTGGTTGGGGCTTGCATTTATTGCACCACAAACACACCAGCTTACCCAGCCCAGGAAAACACTTCCGGATCCCGCTTGGTTTGTGGCTCAGTGGCTTTGGACACTTCAACGGATGAGCTCAGCAAACGCCTGGCAAACTCGGTCTATGACAAGTGCAGGGCTGGATCACTATCTCTGCAAGGATTTCCATCCTTTGACCCGTTGGTGCAGGCACTGCGCAATGGTGTTTCTGAGACAAACCGCGCTGAGTATCAAGTTTGCGCGCCGGTCACTAGCCTGCATTTTGGAAGTACTGTCATCTAATCTCAACAGAAACACCATCCAACATCATGGATCCTGGGTTACTGCTTAAAAAGCCAATCATGGAAAAAAAGAAATCACAGTAGGGTGTGGGATGCATGGCGTACTAGGTTGGTGATGGAAAGCTTGCTGTGTTGCAATCCTATGCGCAAAAGTTCTTGGACGACGAAAGCACCAGTCAATCGGCATCTGATCTCATCCATGACCACAACAACAAGTTCAATGTGGGCGGAGAGTTTCTGAGGGAAGAGCAAACTAGGACCAGATATGTGCTCGGACCCAACATGGTGCTTTAAGTTGGCAAAATCAGGGGAAAATCATAGTTGATTGTCAAAACGGGAAATAGTTGATTGTGAAAATAAGGGTTGATTGTTGGGGTTTCTCGTGACGCTCTCATGCCCTCCGACACTCCAGCCTGTGTCGTGTGGTATGTGGTCTTTGCGCAGGAACCCGTCTGGTGGAACTCCTGCAGAAGAAGGGGTTGCCATCAAAAAGATCAAGGTTGAGACTGGGGACCAATGTAGCGAGGCTGACATCTCAGGCCTTCCCAAACCGAACTTTAGCTGAAATTTAGATGGAGTTGCTGTATGTTCCTTCACCCCCAGTAATTAGCAAAAAACCAAGTAGGTACATGTGAAAATCCTCCCAAGATCACATGTTTCAAATTCTTCCAGTCAGTAATTCCAGTGAACATAACTGCAACTGTAGTAATTATCAATGGGTATGTGTTATATTGGATAACTAACGAAATAGTATACAACCACAACCCTGTGGACAATCTTTCTGCCCTAATTTCTCTGCAATCTAAATTTTTGGACTGGCTTTCATTCAGGTTGAAGATCAACATCAACAACACTGCGGAGCTTCTGACCTGTGGCGATGGGAGCGCCATTTACGTGACCAGCAAGGGCAAGAACGATTTCGTGGCTCACCGCGAGCTGCTACTTAGCAGGACACCATGGTGCCAAACCATAATGTTTATATTGAGGAATATTTGGGTATAAAGAACCCAATCTAAGGTTTAGTTTGATTCCGTATCATTTTGCCAAACCATGATGTATTTACTGAAGCATACGTGCATACACTGACATCGATTTGGTTCGATTCCATGTTTTCTGAATCTAAGTTTCAGCTTTGGAAGCGGTGAGTGGAGAGAGGCTGCTGAGCCTTAACTGCATTAATGCTTACAAGTTGTTGGTCCTCCAAACCCATGGTGGTCCTCAAAAATGGCTTAGGAAGCCAGCGAAGTGACAGCCTGTGCCGATGGACGTTGGTTCGCTTTCTCTGCCTCCCTAGATTTGGTTTGCATCCTGGAGAAGAAAACCGTGCCTGAACACCTGATGGAACTTAGTGCTTTGGATCGCCCCGTATTCTTGCGCAAAATCCTGGCAGAACTTGAAGATCATGGAGAGGTTACTCAACATGAATTTGATTCAAAGAAACAAAATTTCCTACTTCAGAACTAGGTATATGACAGCCGTGTCAGTATATGAATTCTACTTTGCCCGTGCTTCAGGTTGGAATGAGGATTTCCCATCACACCATGACCGCAGAAGATCCCAATCCAAAGCCTGAAAAGGCTTTGGTTTTTGTCTTGGATGAAGTCAAGGATGAGCCTGAGGGGCAGGGGCAGGATGGCAAATCCAAAAAGCGTAAACGGAAGTCCGCTGGGTTTCAACCAACGGCCAAAAACTTTGGTTCACGGATTTCGATCAACAAAGTAAAGTCAGCTTCAAAGATCGTGATTGGATGGCGTTGCAGGCTGGGTTCTTCAACAAAGTTTCGGGTACCTTCTCATGCTTTCGAGCCCCCAAGTAAGTAACAAAGAATCAAATCCAATTCAATGATGTTGGGTATTATGTCAAGAACCCTACTATGTTGGAGTCCCGTCTAAACCCTCTACTGAGAGTGGCTCTGTGCCAGCCCTCCCCTTTCAGGCTTGAATCCATTGATGCGGGGAAGAAGATCACCCCGATCCGTCCAGTAGCCTGTTTGGCAGGCTCCTTGAGCGTGGAGGATATGAATATCCGCCTGATGTAGCCGGTGAGTTGGTGGGCCGCGCACACTGAGATGTGCATGGGGCCTGATTAGTTTTGACAATATTTGCATGGCTTCAATTCCTGATGGTTACAGTAACGGTTTTAGCAAATCTCTATTGGATACCTGTGTCCATTGTCTTCGAAAAACTCAACCATTTTATTTTAGAAAAATAAACTCATTTTGATTCATTGATGTTTCAATGGTGAATGCCATGGACCGATTTCTCTCTCAATGGCGTCCCAACTATCTTGGTCAAGTGGCACATGTTGCAAACCTCAGCTTAGAACTCTTCGATCTTTAAACAAATGATTTAGAACAATGATTATCAGTTACTTGGTTTACACATCCATGTGCCGATATGCCCATTGCATTTCCGAGTTGGGATCAGTTCGCTGTCTTGTAGGGACACCAATTTCACGCATTGTGGTGAAAATGTTTCAGATTTGCCCGGTAGAAATTTGTCAACCATGCAACACTGATACTGGCTACTTGCATGTGGCTGTCATCATTGCAATAATATGGATTCATAGATTTTTTTTATTTTTAGGGTTCAAAAAAGGCTGGTGGGTTCTGCATTGGTGAACCAACCAGTGGATAGCAATGGCTGTCGACAGTGATTCTGAGAGTGTCCGGGTGGTGACACCGTCCGCAGACTTTGAGACCCCAGTAACTTGGAACGGAATGGAGAGGTTTTGAGCTATACAATCCCATACTTTTGAACCCTGACCAAATCCAACAAAATATTGCTCAGGCATTTGATCTTCGAGTCTTTATGGAGAGGCCGCCACCAGCAGCTGCCGCCACACCCAAGTCTGCGCCTGCATCGTCATCGTTGAGAGCTACACCTGTGCCAAAGGCTTCAGGACTGACTGGGCGTAACTTGGTAGTTAAGTTGACATCATATACACTGAAGTATTGGTGTGTATATAAAGGAAAGAATTACATACATACAAACATGCTTGCATGCATGCATGCATCCATCCATCCATCCATACATACATTTCATACATGTCATACATGTCATACATTACATGCATTACATATATTACATACATTAAATACATTACGTACATTACACACATTACACACAGTACATATATAACAAACAAAAAATACATTACATACATTTCATACCTTACATACATTACATACATTATTCACATACACTACTTAGATACATACAAACAGACAAACATACAAACATACAAGCATACATACATGCATACATGCATAGATGCATACATGCATGCATGCATGCATACATGTATACATGCAAACATGCATACGCGCATACATGCATACATGCAAACATGCATACATGCATACATACATACAGACATGCATACACACATACATGCATGCACACACACATACACACATACACACACATGTACACACACATACATGCATACATATATACATACATACATACATACATACATACATACATACATACATACATACATATATACATACATACATATATACATACATACATACATACATACATACATACATACATACATACATACATACATACATACACACATACACACATACACACACACGTACATTCATTCATTCATTCATTCATTCATTCATTCATTCATTCATACATACATACATACATACACTTGCAGTGACATTTACATGCACATTTACATTTTAAATTTTACAGTTACATTGCATTACATTCATTACATACGTTACATATTTACATTTATACATACATACATACATAAGCAAAAAGAAAGATAGATAGATCGATAAATGGATACATGCATTGCAGACATACATACAAAACACAACTTAACATAACATAACATAACACCCCATGCATTACATTACGTTACGTTACGTTTCAGTACATTACATTACATACATACATACATTACAGTACATTACATTGCATTGCATTACATATTACATATTACATATTACAAATTACATATTACATTACATATTACATTACATATTACATATTACATATTACATATTACATTACATTTTATATTGCATCACATATTACCATACATTTACATTACATATTACATATTACATATTACATTTTACATATTACATATTACATTACATTACATATTACATTACATATTACATTACATATTACATATTACATATTACATATTACATATTACATATTGCATATTACATATTACATATTACATATTACATTACATATTACATTACATTTTATATTGCATCACATATTACCATACATTTACATTACATATTACATATTACATATTACATTACATCACATATTACATATTACATATTACATTTTACATATTACATATTACATATTACATTACATTACATATTACATTACATATTACATTACATATTACATATTACATATTACATATTGCATATTACATATTACATATTACATATTACATTACATATTACATTACATACTACATACTACATACTGCATATTACATATTACATATTACATATTACACATTACATATTACATATTACTTATTACATATTGCATATTGCATTACATACAGTCTCACACATACTTACATACATACTTACATACATACTTACATACATACATACATACATCACTAGATATATACATACAGTTAATACCTATATACGAAATGCACACACATATATCAATTATTCCGGTTGCTTTCCAACAACTTCAATCCTGAACTGTGGTACATGAGTGGGGCTAAGGTACTTCAGATGCCTTGCCTGGTAGAGTTTCTGATGAGTCTTCAGCAGAGAAGGCTTCTTCTCGCTCTGGGGGTTCTAATGTGATGAAACGACCGGCAGGCAAAGGTACAAAAAAGCCTTTTAAGAAACCAAGCAAGAAACATGATGATGATGATGACAATGAGGGACCCGATGATGATCACCAACCGCTGCCTTCCCAAAGAGATGATGAAGATGATGATGACCACGGACTTGATGGTCTTGATGAGCTCCTGGATGTTGGCAACTTGGACGATACCACTGGTGGAGCTGCCAAACGTCCAGCTTCCAAGTCTAGCGGGGGATCTCGAAAGAAACCAGCTGGAAGAAAGCAGGCCAGGTGAATCTACTATTTACCATTCAATGCTTCAATGAATACGATGAGCATCAAACCACATTGTATCAACTAGGTCTGGTGTGTCATCACAAAATCTTTTCCAGGCGGAGATGATGCCATTTGAGAATATGATTGAAGGTGCTGATGTCCCGATTGGGAGGCCTCACACACTTGAAGCATTTTGAATCCAAAACGTGGTTATTCACTTAGGTTTGTTGTTTGATTCATGGTTCGATGTGCCACCCATTGTTCTACCATCTTCTCATTCAGGGCGAATGAAGACCAGCTGGCCTGTGACAACTCCCAGTATGCCCATGATGCTGTCCATAATGTTCCCGGACCGGATCATGTTGGCCCCAGTGTTCCCGGAAGCCCTGTCGATTCGCTTTTTTTGTATCTTGGCACAATGTTCAATGTTTCCTAATTATGATGGCATTCAACAAGATTGAAGTGCAAAATGGTGCACTTGGGAATGGGCTTGTGTAGTTTGAACTAATCTCATTAAACTCAGGTCTGGTCATGAGATTTCAGGAATTGAATCCCCGGCATTCAAGCTCAATGATGAGCATGTGTATTCCGCTGAGAGCCCTGCTCCTACAGTGGCTGTTACCCCTGGTTCTTGGGGAAAGTATTCCTTTTCTCCACAGCATCCTGACAATCAATTGGGCCTCATTGACGATGAGAACAATCATGACAATGACCCTTGGATTATTTAGAATGGCTTGCCAAAAAACAATGTGAAATCAAGATCTCCCCCCTGTTCATAGTGTTTACTTTACTTTGTCAAGGACCTGCGACGTTTGGACGCCCATGGGGATCTGTCCCCTCTCCTTCGTGACGAGGCGCTGATGTCCATCCATGGCGGTGATGGGATCTCACGCTTTCCCAAGTTTAAACATATCTGAGATGTCAGTTTGAGTTGTTTGAGATGATGTCAATTAATGTCAATTTGATTTCTTTGGGATGTCATCAACCACTCTTTCAAACTCTTCCAAACAAATCTTTGGGATGCCAATGCAGAGGAAGCCATACCTACGAGCCCTGTTGATTTGACAGCGTCTCCTGAGAAGGACCTGCTCTGTCGGTATCAGTACTGCTCCCTGAGTGGGTATGGGTTTAATATGGTTTAATTCCCTATCGTACCACCATCCATGAGGTTTACTGGTTCGTTTCAATTCCATTCATAGTGTGCGATTTACTGTATTGACTGGTTCACAAACGGCTTACGACGCAGGAAGTCTCTGATGCGGAAGTTGCCTACCTGCAAGAATCCCAATGCTCACCTCCAATGAGAATGATGCTTCACAGGCTCCATTTTCTGGTTTTCTGGTGTAAAGAACATGGTGGCTAAGGTTGGGCTGACACCACAAAAGAAGCCTAAGAAACCTTCGAAAGCAGTTCACAAAAACAAAGCTCCAAAATGTCCAAAGGGTAAGGCTGCTGCAAAGGCAAAGGCGAAGGGGAAGGCTTCGACCCAGGTGAAGGGAAAGCGCAAGGCAGAGGCATGCCCCAAGGCTAAGTCAAAAGCAGCTGTCGGAAAGATTCCAAAGGCAAAAGCAGCACCAAAGAAAAAAGCCGCAAAGAACCCACCCGTGAAGAAGCCTGAGACTGCCGAGAACACAACTGTGAAGAAGGATTCGGTTCAGAAAAAGCTGCACAGCGCCCCTGGGTAGCAACAAGTCTGTCAAACACGTGTTGCAAACAATCCATTTTTTTTACTTTGCTAGCGCCTGACTTGGAAGGTTTACTGTGCAGCGTACACAAAAGCAAAGACTGATGGCAAGACTTTGGAGGAAGCACGTGCACTGGGAATTGAAGCCAGGAAGAAGCTTCCTGGTTGCATTTTTCCCCACCTGCCAGGTGAGGGTTGTTAGATTTTATCAGAGCTGTTCTGCTCATCCTCCTCCTTCTCCTCCTCCTCCGCCTCCTCCTCTTCCTCCTGATCCAGTTTCTCCTCGACCATGTCTGCATCAACTTCCACGTCCACTTCCGTCTTGCCAACTCGTCGCCAATCTCTTCGGCCAACATCCGCGCGCAGTGGGCACTGCTGGACCTCAACTGCCGGCTGCCGATCTGAGTGGGCACGGCTGGACCTCAACCGCAAGGTTCCGAGCTCAGTGAGCACCACTGGACCTCAACCTGGGACCGTCCGAGCTCAGTGAACACCGCTGGACCTCAACCTGGGACCCTCCGCAGCTCCTGGGACCCTCCGAGCTCAGTGAGCACCGCTGGACCTCAATCTGGGACCCTCCGAGCTCAGTGAGCACCGCTGGACCTCAACGGCCAGATAGAATGCCAGAAGATATGCCACATAGAACACCAAATAGAATGTCAGATAGAATGCCAGAAAATATGCTAGATAGAATGCCAGATAGATTGCCAGAAGATATGCCAGAAGATATGCCAGATAGAGTGCCAGAAGATATGCCAGAACATATGCCAGAAGACATGCCAGGTAGAATGCCAGAAGATATGCCAGATAGAATGCCAGATCGAATGCTGGAAGATATGCCAGACAGAATGCCAGAAGGTATGCCAGATAAAGTGCCAAAATGTTTGCCAGATAGAATGCCAGAAGATTTGTCAGATAGAATGCCAGATAGCATGTCAGATAGAATGCCAGAAGATATGCCAGAAGATATGCCAGAAGATATGCCAGGTAGAATGCCAGAAGATATGCCAGATAGAATGCCAGATCGAATGCCGGAAGATATGTCAGATAGAACGCCAGAAGATTTGCCAGTAAAAAATGTATAAATGTCATGGTGGGGATGACTCGAAGTAAAGTAAATTCTCTCTCTCTCTCTCTCTCAGTCTGTCCCTCTTCTTTCTCTTGCGCGCTCACCCACTCCCCTATCTCCATATATGCATGTCTCTTTGTCCCTCTCTCTCTGACCCTCCTTGTCCCATCACCAATTCTTGCGATTGACTGCATCTCAGGTGGGTCATCGAAAGTGGACCCCGAGATCACTTTGCGGTGATTGCCCTGCTCAAGTCTTATGGCCATGAAGTTGCCGGTTCTGAGACCTCCTGAGATCTCTTGTCTCACTAGAAATGCCTAGATGGCGTTTCAAAACCAGAAAGTGGAATCACACGAACTTGGGGTATGCGTGTGACAAAATCTGTGGAAACTGCTGCTGTTTGTGACAGTGCCAGTCCCTAACTGGATGAGTGCCAGTTACAGCCGGACAAGTTTCATTGCTTTTGACAGTGTTTTTGTAATGCTTCCAGTCAAGCATACGGTAATTTACACGTTTTTTGCTATAACGTCAGTCCAAAACATTTGTTTTTGCAGTGTTTTCAATGCTCTGGCATCCAAAAACCCTGCAAAATCTTGCTATGTACAATGTTTTTTTCATTTTTGACCGTTTTTCCATTGCCGGAAAGCTACCAAAATGACCCAAAATTCCATTTCAATACCCTCTTGCGCTCAGACACCCAAAAATCCTCGAAAAATGTCGAAAACACCACCGTATTCTGGTCTCGGTGCGAAACCGTTTTTGGGCCCCCCCCCCAGCTAAAGCTGATATAGCGACTGCTATATTAACAAATGTCATTGAGCATTTAGTGTTGCTGTTTTGCACCCCAATAAGCACGCCTTCACCGCCAAAGCGGTGTGGGCGGATTTTCAGCTGGAAAAAACATTCTGGCGCACTGCACCATGAGGCCAAGTGCATCGTGGACCACTTTCACCTGCCAAAATATCCGGGTATGGCTCAAAGCGGGTGTCTACGGTATACCGATACCCAATTGCAGGGGTGCCAAATTTGCAAAGCCATTTAGCAACTGCAGTGGCAATTTGGGGGCAAGCCTGCGCAACGAGCTCGTCAATCTCTGGCTCGTCAAGAAGCTTTGCTGTTTTTGTACGGCACCTGAGCTTCGGCTGCACATGATATCAATGATATCTGCAAAAAAACAACCAACACCTTAACCGAAACCCTTCGACCAAAAAACAAACACGTCTTTTTTTCTGGTCCTCAGGTCTGAACTTTCTGTTGGCAGTTGGGCGGTTGATCACGACACGTCGAACGGCATCACGTTCAAAAATGGAATCTCCTGTTTGGCTTGCGACGGTGGACAGCAATACGGCTCTGATGTTGAAGATTTCGTGAATGGGCCCCCCACCCCATCTCTTTTTCATTCTGTTTCTGAATTGTTGTCTTGAGTTCATGTTCAAAAGCATACAATGAGGTCAGCCAAGGACACGCAGAAGGCATGCAAAGGACTTCCACAAACACATGCTGGCTGCACCGATAGAGATCACGTTCTTCCAGCTTTGGTGAGCGTACCGCGAATAGAAGCCGCTGATTTCTTGTTCGAAAGCTATTTCCTCACATCAAAATCACCACTGGATACCATGGGTCAGGTTGCAATCGACCCAAGGGAAAACAACCACGGGTCCACAGATTGACGGCCTTCCATCTCTGAGGAGCCATTTCATCAATCTGCACAGGTCCAAAATGATCGAAATATATCGAAATGGCCACAGGAGCAAAGTGAAAACACACCGGCCTGCTGCGGTGCTCGGCCAGCGGTCCCCAACTGGCATCCAGTGTTGCCAGGCAAAAGAGACCCACTGCTGAAACTCTCTCTGCTGTAGCTGCTGTAGCTTCTGCTTATGGTTTGAATAGTTCTAAGATGTTCTAAGCATTGGTAGTGCATTTATTTCCAAGAGCCCACCTTGTTCATGCCATTGGCAGCATAGAGACCAGGAAGGGCGCGGCCAGGAGCCCCCGGCACCTGGTCAGGTGACCCCAGGTTATGGGAGTGGGGAAATATGTGGAGAAATGGAGAAAATGAATCAAAATGAATGAAGATGATGATTCCATAGTGGATTTGAGTGTACCCTGGTTCCAGACAAACCCATCGTCATCTTTTTTTGGTGCCCTCAGTCTACACCATAGTCTACACCAACTTCTTCAGACCTCACATCCAGATGGACCAAGCTCGCAAGCTGACAGGCAGAGCAGCATCAGCCAATTCTGTTGGAATGTCCTTTCTAACTCATTACTACTGCATCGACGGCTTGCAAGTTCGTCTGCTCTCTAGACTCTAGACTGTAGTTAACTTCCTTTGTTGCGCTGCTTTTTCATTCCTCCTCACATGTTTTCCTGTTCGTTATTCTGCCAACTGTGAACTCAAGTGGTAAAGTACGGTAAAGGGCCTTTGCAGCATCGCAGGTCATCGTGTCAAAGACGGATCTTGCCTTGGCAGCACTCAATTTCAATCCTCACCGTCCTCACCTTCACAGCAATGCAGACTCCATTGACTCCATTGACTCCATGCTGGGCCAAGCTTCGTAAATCACCTGAATCTGTGAGACAATCGGAACCAAGGCCGGTAGGAAGTTCCTGCAACGTGGCTTGACATTGGTTTGAATGAGTCAGATCCAAATCGAGGCTGACCGACAAGATGTCTCGACCCAGGGTTCCATGGCGTTGGTAACAATGATGACCTGCACAAAATGCAAGTCCCACAGTACCAGAACAACTGCAGTTCTGTGCAGCAGGTACACAAAATGGGTATTGGATTTGCCTAGCCGCACGGCCCACAATCTGTTCCAGGCGTTCACCGGTTGTAAGTGCCAAATAGATCGAGAGAATCAAGTGGATCAGCATCAAAATCACAAATACGCACGGGACTACTTTCCATGGAAGCTGATGAAGCTGCAATTTTCAACTAAAAGCCTATATTATCCCAGTTTCTAAGAAAAACTGGGAGGTTCACCTTGCCCATCTTCATCGCGAGCTGTAGGGTCGCCTTGCAAGCTCTTAACAGAAGCAACAAAGGTCCGTCATGGTCCGTCCTGTAAAAGGCAAGTGGGCTACAATCATCTCACACCCTGCAGACCTCTACATGTTTTTGCAGTTCCCGCAATGGTCGCTGGTACCTCTGGCTTCTCAAGTCTGAAAACGCCCACAATTGGATCTCTGACCAATGTCACTTTCAGTACGAACGTGGAGGGAGCACTTCTCTTCTGGAGGACAAGGTTTGAAGAAGCTCAAGGCCGGTCGATTCTGCAAGTGTCAGCATGCTCACGTGTGAGTGCTGTTCTCTATAGTTACAATGCTGCATATGTAAACCAATCCCAAAAATCAGTTCCGGTGCCATGCAACTTGGCTGCAACTAAGCTGTTGACAAATGAACACAAACGCAGGTTTGATCTCTCCAAAACATTGGTTCACAAACGCACACAGGTTTGAAACAAGTTTGTGTTACAAGATTTAGAATAATGGTTCCAAATTCCACACGGAAACGCACCTCTCTGATCCAGTTTGACGGGCACAGGGTGTCATCCCAGTCAAATAGAATGATGGTTTGCTCCGGTCTGAAATACCTGATGGATCAAAACATGGGATGGAATGGGGGTTGGTGCCCTCACTTTGAGACAACAAACCACATTTACTAGTTTATTTATCCTACGATTGTACGCAAAGTCATGAATTGCTGGACAAACTTCCAACATCTTCCAACATGCCCGCAGTTGCAAAGAGAACCCCAGATTGTACAAGGCGCGGAAAAACCACACTGCGGTGGTGGGCAGCAGAGGAGCAAGGCAAAAGGCAAAGGGAAGGCAGCTACCCTAACATATACTCTATATATATGCACCCAGAGGGCGCATGGGAGTAACAAAATCAAAACATCTTAAATGCAGACCATCATCGCCACCATGATATGAACCAAACGAAGAAGGGAAAAAACACAAAGGCGACTCAAAGTTCTGTTGATTTCGTCCAAGACACTCAGCTTGGCTTCCAGTACTGGTGATCGACTCGATCGTTTGCCGAATTGTCGGTTTCAACCGAGAACCACTAGAAGGGTTGGACTGCAGTGCCTTCAAAAGTGGAAATGAATGGCAATGAATGGCGACTTCAATTTTCACTTTGGACTAGCACATTCTGCAATTTTCCTGTCTTTGCCTTCGAATTACTTCCGATAGAATTGCCACCAACTCGCCGTTGGACCTCAACAAGATACAGCAAATTGTCTATTCAGCGACCGGCATACCAACAAACATAGGTACAGTTTGCAACAAAATGTACAAAAACCGTGCAATATCTGTGGTTAGTTTGTACATTTTGCGTGTTGTGTTTTTGGCATCATACTGGTTGAATCTTGGATTCCCAGCAATCGGCCCCTGCGATCCGGCGGTAGGTGCCGGGGCTGCCCGCATATCCTGGCGGTCGAAACACTGGGGTGAAAAAAAGGGACGCGTTGTCAATTTAAGAAAAACATCTCAGCATCGGACAATGCAAATTCGAACCAACTCAATGAAAAAACTTCAAATAGTCGCAACGACTACATTGATCTTGAACCCAAATGCACCCAAGCAAAGTTTCATTCATTTGCCCTTATTTGTGGCCACAACACCTCTTTGACTTCGGTCTATCTTGTGGTTTAAGCTAGCGGCTTCAAAATTAACCACCCCGAAAAAAAACATTAACGCCAACCAACCATTGGTTGAAAGTTGGATTTTCAATCACCCAAATTTTTTTCGCATGTTTGTTCATCAACATGAAATGAGTTTTTTCCAGCAAAATACTAGTTAGCTGGTGTTGTGTCTTTGGCGAGATGGTCGTGTTGTTCAAGTGGCCCTACCAACCCACCAACAAATTATGTCCACCTTGACAATCATGAACACTGACGTCGCTCAAAGACCAAATTTGATTAAATCATGAACGTTTGACATTTCAACACTTCCGACTTCCAACCCAAAAATCCACCTACATGGGTCTGTCCATCAAATCATTTGTTGGTACTCGGTGCCGCCATCTGTTTTTTTTACAAAAAACATGAAATTGCATTATTTGCTTGTTTGCATGTGTGATATCAAAAAAATAATGCGTTGCAAATTTGCACTGAATTAGCTTTGCACTGCAAACCAGTCGTAACATGTTGGATAGACGGGGGGTTTGCCCCGTTTTTACTCGGTTGCTTGGGGGGTTGGGGGGGTGGGTGGGGTCTGTGTTAACGTTCGTGTGCACTTGCTTTCGATGTTGATGCTGCGCGAAAGACATCTTCGGGGTTGGGGTGGGGGGTGGGGTTGTGTTAACGTTCGTGCGCACTTCTTTCGATGTTCATGCTACGCAAAGGACGTTCGTGCGCACTTGCTTTCGATGTGCATGCTACGCAAAGGACGTCTTCGGGGTTGGGGTTGGGGTTGGGGTAGGGGGGTCTGTGTTAACGTTCGTGCGCACTTGCTTTCGATGTGCATGCTACGCAAAGGACGTCTTCGGGGTTGGGGTTGGGGGGGGTTGTTGTTCGGCTGGGTTGGTTTTGTTATCTGTACGTGTTGATGAACATGTTGATATATTTACTGTATGTTCTTGCTCTCAGATACTTGTAGTCTTCTGTATGCGTGTATTTTTATTGATATCCATGTTAGGATGATCTGGTCTCTTTGCCACTAACTTTCCCACGCAAATTTCACCGGTCATGTCTGCCTGCCACCTGCGCTGCAGGTACGCATCTCAGATGTTGGGGCTGGGCTGCACTGGCGTGCCAAAGCTGGTTGGAGCTGTTGGTTGCGTGAGAGTTCGTCAGGTTTGCTTGGACACTGAAATTTTCAAGATGTATTTCATAGGGTGCGTTGACCAACCGCAAGATACGGTGCCACTGACATTGGCACAGCTTTGCTTTTGTATTTTGTAGCTCGCTGCTGGGCTCTGTTTTCATGGGTCCGCTTCTGTACGGTGTTACCTTGTTAATTCTCCTCCGCGCAGCTCATGAAAAGTTTCTAACTGTCTGTTTTCTCTGGTTTTTTTTGGGTACGGAAGAACTATGGGATGCTCACTACATCCTAGCGTTGAATTGGCATGGGGATGCTGGAGCTGAGTCCACCTTTGCTGCAGTGGAACGAGTGTATCATTGGACAAGCCGAGCCTTCGCCAGGGTTTGTCGGCACTGAAGGAAATTTGGTTCCGTTATGTGAAAGAACATAGGCCTCTGCCAGTCAAAGTTCTTCAACAAAGTCAATAGTCGGCATTGGCGGCAACCACTTCTCTGACTTGGAAAAGATGTCACGACCATTTCTTTCTTCTAAATCTTGGTTTCTCTCTCCACGTTGACTCAAACCTGGTGGAGACCCACCTCGTGGGGGAGATGATGGACGCAAAAATGAGATTCCTCCAGCTCGACCTTGTTCCGCAAACACAGGTCCTGGGCTCGTGGGTGGTTGTTCACCAAACCGTGACGGTCCACTGCTGAAACCTGAAGACAAAGACGGGTCAGCCGGTCTCGCACCATGCAAGGCTGCAGTTCCCTCTGGAACGCGAGTCACCTGAGTTTGCAAACCCTCAAGTCTTGTGATCATTTCCCTGCGACAGGCTCAATTCCCATGCAGAAGATCTGTGCGATCTGGGTCATCTGCTCTGGCGTGAACAAAGGACCTTGCTGAGTTGGGCTTCCTGGTGCCCTAGGCTGCTCTTGTGGAGTTCTCTGCCCAACTTTTCCAACAGGATACGGTCCAGTCGGTCCACCTGCCTGAAAACTACGACCACTTCCTTTCTCTCCGCCCTAGGTACCTTGGCCGTCCATGCGAAAATGCTGTGGTTGTCCTGATTGAGACATTTCTAACACCTTGGAGTCAAACACACAACAGTCAAACGCAACTCAGGGAGCACACAAGCTCCGCTACCACGTAAAACTTTGACACACAAAGTTAGATCGCGAAAACCGCTTTCAAACCTCTCGTGTTCAAAATAAACCCAAACCAAAACAAAACAAACAGTGAGAGTTTCGCGTTTCTGCAGTCTCAGACTCTCCCAGGCCGTCTCACGGTGACACACACACTTTTCGCTCTCGCAGGCTTGAGCCAACGTTCACGTTGACAAACACGGTTCAGAAAACAGAAACTAAGTGAGTTTCTGTGGGATGAGCAATCTGGAGTCCAGTCCAGTTAAGGAAATCGGCTTTTGCGGCCAAAAATCGTGAAACCACACCGTTTGACATTGAAAATGTCTAATTTCACGGCTTTTGTGCACAAAAATCGTGAAAGCACGCCGTTTCACATTGAAAATGTCTCATTTCACGCCTTTTGCGGCCAAAAATCGTGAAAGCACGCCGTCTCACTTGAAAATGTCTCATTTCACGGCTTTTGCGGCCAAAAATCGTGAAAGAACGCCGTTTCACATTGAAAATGACCCACCATAGATACACGGCGCTCCACTAAACACAGTTTCACAGATTGTGATTTGTTCTTCCTGTTTTGCGCTTTCTTGCTTTCGGGCAACAAGTTACAGCAGTGGAGATGTACACTGACAACAACGGAGTTTACGATACACTTATTTCTGCGTCTCTGCAAATGTACTGCCCGGAAGATTCTCATTGCGACGATGGCGCTTGAATGTACCTAACTCCTTGGTAGCAGGAAGTTGATTGATGTGACAAGATTGGACTGAAGTTGATGTTGAAAACATGGAAATGGAAGCAAGCATCCTCACGTAGACATTTGAATCAAGCAGCTCATGTGCATCCACATCATGCATGCAGTGATAAGTCGCTATGAGGTTTGACCGCTACATTATCACTTTTTGCAAACGCTGCTGAGCCAATGCATATCATCTGAAATCACAACTGCAGTTGAAGCGACATTAAAAGAATTGCAATCTGATGGACGAACTGGCTCACAGGAGCTACTTGAAGCTGGGGTTGACTCACAGCCTGCTGTTCTTCCCACCTTTCAACTAAAGCGGTGAGCTTGGCCCAACAGTCTGCACCTTCAACTTTGTACTCGGTTGCTCCCCCATTGCGATCACCTTCTCACAACTGAGACGTGACGGGCGAAAGTTTCGAGTGCATAGAGACGAATGTGACTTGACGACTTCTTCGTACCACCCAAGGGCCCAAGGACACATTTTTTTGAACGTTTTCCAATTAGTGGACCATACACCAGACCGTAAAGAAATGATGAACCATTTGCATCTTCCCGTTTATGATCCATAGATGCCGGAAACAAAACAACCGTTTATTTCTGGATTTTGAATTTAATCGGTACAATCAAGCAAAATGTACGTTTGCAGGATAGTCAGTCATCATCGCTTAATCAACCAGCCCAAGCCCGTGCAAAGGATGAACCTTTGCACGCTATGAATTCATTGTTTCACTTCATCAAATGAATGTTTTTTTTTGTCTCGGAGTTTGGCCGATTAAGCTCAAAGGCACGGTCCCAAAAATAGAACTAAGTAAGAAAAGATCAAACGCAGAGACTAATTCCGTCTCTGTGAAACTGTACAATGCAAGTGGCAAATGAAAAACCTTCCATACCAGCGTAGGGAGGAAATGCACATCTCCCGGCCAGATATACGTATCCTCCCACGCAAAACAAAACAAGCAAACAGAACCAACAGCAGCACAGGGCCGGAGCCCAACACAGACAAAGAACCAACACCAGCCACTGAGTGCATTGATGGGGGATTGGACCCACCAATGCATACCACAAAAACATGCATTACAAACTAATTAAAGACGTAGTAATCAAAACGAATTCAAAGGCCGCAGAAGCCGTGTTAAATGAGACATTTTTCAATGTGCAAACCAAAATATATTTGTGAAAAGTGAAAAGCAGTCCATTAACCCATTGGCAAGTAACTGAGGGATTTATTTTATCGTCTGCAGCAACAATGGGCGACACTTGCCATTATCAATTCCAATCGGATGATTTTCAATTTTTTTGAAGGTTGATTCCATCGAGAACACGACGAAATGTATATATGTTGCGAGTGATTTTCTAATACACTGACTGTAAACAAAAGAGAAAAAACTGCAGTTTTTTCCGCTGCAAACATGTATTTTTCTGCCTCACAGCTTTTTCTGCCTCCAACACGCGTTTTTTTCACCTCATATATTTTTTCCGCATCGTGGGTGCATTTTTTTTCAGCTCAGGGTCTTTTCATGTTTCCAACGAAAAATATCTGAAATCACGAGTCTAGCTTTTGAAATCTTACATCTAGATTGTTCTTCGCATTTGCAGTTTGCGAACGGCCGGGAACGAATTAATCGAATCTGCATTCAATCTCTGCAAATTCTGTCTGTAAAATGTAAAATTTAGCTTCTAACTGTTGATTTTTTTTCGGACATTTTTGAATACAAGACTGAAACTGCTGTTGAGAGTGCCGATGGCCGCTAAAAACTGGAAAATGCAAATAATTATTTGCTTTTTGAAGCCTTTAAGAAATAGCTCTGTGAAAATCTTTACTTTTCAAAACAGCTTTTTGAAATAGTTTTGTGAAAATCTCTGCTTTTGAAATAATTTCTTGAAATAGCATTGTGAAAAAAAAATTAAGCCTAATTTTCGGGAGCTA